TAACTAATATTAATGTAAGTTTTGTATAAAAATATTTAAGTATAAGATATGTTGATAATTAATAATTCTTGGTTCTTCATAAAAATTATCAAAATAATTTTGTTTCAATTACTTACATTTTAATTAAATAAAGTTGGGTCAAACCAATGGTTTGTATTGTAGCACTTTTCCCTTCAACAAGTGAAAATTCTGCTTTTAAATACAGTCTATGTACTCGTATACCTATCACACTATTAAAATTATTTTCATTCATATACAAAACTATTTCTAGGATTGCATATATTTAGGATGACGCATATATGCAGTCTTTGAAATAAAGCAAAAATTAATATAAAGTGGGGTAAACATAATGCTCGATTTTAAGGGTTAATTGTGTGAGTTAAGAAAAATAATTATATTTTTTAATTTCATGGAATTTACCGTTAGCTTTTTGCGTTTATAAAAATTTGGAAAAGCTTGCGGTTTCGGAAATATAAGGTGTCAAAAATTCAAATTTTACGAATTTCAAGAGGTTATAACTTGAGAGGGGGTGGAAATGGAAAAAAATTTTCTTCTAACTAAATGAACTATTTGTTAATGTCTAAAAGCTCCTAAAATTTCAAGCTTCTACACGCTGGGGTATAGAAGAAAAACGACATCAAAAATTTGGAAAAAAAGGACTTTAGATAACGGTAAATTTGAACGGCCATTTTGTTTTTCTAAAGTTTAACTATAGTATACTGCGCAAGGGGAAGCAAGCCACTGCCTTTCTGCGTTTGCAAAATTTCAAAAATGCTTATGGCTTCATTGCAACAAATATTTAAAAAAGGCCATTTTTAGGGTTTTGGGGGGGTATAACTTCTAGAGGGGGGGAGAGAGGTAAAAATTTTGTTCTACGGAAATAAGTTTCTGGTGAAGATCTATATACGTATGAAATTTCAGCTTTCTATCTTCAAGGGTGTAGAAGTTTTGTAAACAAAAAAAGTGTCCATGGACGGACGGACGGACAGAGTGAAACTAATAAGCACTTTTTTCAAAAAATTTTTTGGAAAAGTGCTAAAAAGACTTAATTCGTATAGTTCTTAATTCAATTTCAGTTTTGTCAAATTCTAATTGGCTGAAGATTTTATTACTGAAACGTTGATTAATAATTCAACTTCGTGTAATCCGATCTTAACATTTTTATTGTATCAATTATTACGATAACGTATTGTTGAATATTTAATAAATCAGTGAACATTTTTATCCCAGTATTTGTATAGTATCTTTGTATAATCTAATGACTTACTGAGGTTATTTACACTGTAATGCAAATAGTTAATCATTCTAGTTATACATATGAATCTAGAACAAAATAAGGAAAAATAACGAAATTTAAAAATTATTTTAAATTTGTTAAACTCAAAAAGTTAGTACGCTCACATTTATTGACTTAAAGGGAAAAAAATAAAAAAAAATTATCCCTTTTATTTAATTTGAAACACACCTGTTCCAATATTGTAACAATATTTTGAATATTTTGTAAATCCCTTTCCATATGTTCGCATTAATAATAAACACAAAAATTTATACACCCATAATACACACATATGTGTGTGCCTTTTCATAAACCATTAAATTAGTATTACAGCATATAAATTGAATAAGGGAAGAATGCAATCAAATCCTTTGTAATAATATTTTTGACCTAGTTACCTTATTCCTACTACCTTTCTTTGTTAACCTTTTCAATTTTAATTTATCATAAGTACGACTGATAATGTAAATAAATTATAGCAGTTACAATATACCACAAATTAAATTGAGAATTTTTATTTATTTTAAAAGGACGAAAAAATTTTTATTTAAAAAAAAATCCCTTAGTTCCGTAATAATTTAAAAAAGTGAATATTTTTAAATTATTTTACAATTACTCTATAATAATAATTGAAAGGCAAAATAAACAATCTATCTGAAATATGTACAAAAGATATTTTCAATACTAAACTATGGTAGGAAAGCTAAAATTTGAAAAAATTAAGTTAACAATCAGTTTTGTATCATAAATATTTACAGTTTTTATAAATTTTCCGCCCATCTTACAACATTTAAAAACTAGGGTAATGATAATGAAACATTAGTGCAAATATACATTTTAACGAACCATTTTGATTCTCATATTGAACAAGGAATATTATCTCGCCAAATATATTGTACATTAATTGGATTCTTAATATATAAACATTAACATTTTGAAAATCTTATCTAAAGTTAAATAAATTTTATATAGGCAATTAGCAGATTTACTCTTCTAGTTTATTGTGAATAGTTTTAGAAATTTTGTAATTATGAATAGCTTGAGAAATATTGTAAATTAGCAGGGTCCAGAGTTGATCAAATAATATTTTTCAATAAATTGAGCCTTTATATACAAAAATAGTAAATCTAAGTAAATTATTGCACATCTAAGTTAGATGACCCGGAAACATTTAAAAATATTCACTTCCTGAATTATTCATTTAAGGATAAATTTTGAAAAAAAAAAATAATAATGAAAAAAAAGGTATTTTTGGTTTTACTTATTTCCTGCCGTGTTATTAGAAAATTTATTTATTCAATTAAAAAATCGTTTTTTTACATTAAGCAGGTGTTTTTTTTTGGTTGTTCCGGTTCAAAAAAAATTTACAAAAAATTTGAAATTCTCGTAAATTTACAAATTTTAGAAAAATGGATTATTTTTTATTTAGTAATTTTAAATTTTTACTAGCCAATTGAAAGTAAAGCTATTTTTAGACAATCTCTAATTTTTAAGCTTTGTCCAATTAAATTTCGGTAATTTAATTTAATTTAAAGTTTCTTTATAAAACAAATTCGCGATGGGTTTAATCACTCGCGTATACAATTAATTTAACTCAGAATCTGTAAATTGTAATACTAAGTACAAAATATTTGTAAAAAACAATCATTGATTCAAAAATTCAAAAAAAATCTTAAGAGTTGTTTCAAGTTGCAAATTGGAAATTTTATAAGGCAAGCAAACACTCAAAATTTATTGTGCTGCCCAACACCGTCTCACACACAGCCTAAATATTGTTCCCTCGTCAAGTATGTATACATATGTTTAAAATTCTCCTAACCATATGAAATAATTCAAACTATCTAAAGGTTTTAATTTCATTTAAGAAAAATTTGTTCTGATTTTCCTCTAATGTTTTAATCGCATTTTTTAATTGAATTTGCTACAATAATTTTATTAAATTTTATAATTATATTCTCATAATTTTTGTCAATTAAAAATAATTTTCTTTTTTTACAATTAGGTCAAAATTTCATACAATTTTACATGAGTACATATATACTAACTTTTATTTTTCTTATTTCTTTTTCAGTTTTACTACTACCTTGTAAATTTTATGGAACTGTCATTCTAAATTACATATGAGAATAACTACATATAATATTTAAACAATTTGATACGAATAGAAAAATGTTGGAATAAAATTTCTTTGTATACCGGCTGAAAGGTAAAAAGGTGTCATGCAAGTTACAATAACAAAATTTAAAAAGTAAAAAGTTATACTACAAAAATTTTTGTTTTTCATCTTTTAAATAAAATAGAAATAGTAAAAATTAAATTATCGTAATAATGAATTAAAAAACACTTATACACATACATACACACTTTTAAGCATTCTTACTATTATTGTAGTAATTTTATAAAATGCTCTAGATAACGTAGCACATACATATTATACACATAATCATATATGAACATACTATTGAAAAAACATAATACACTATCGTGACAATTTGTGTAGTGAAATATATAAGTACATAATTATTTAATTTTTAAGTGTTATCAGATGAAACATACCTAAAAAATGTAAAAGAAAAAATATTTTATATTAAAAATTAATATTTTGAGTAAAAAATATTATGGTTGATTACTATAACGGTATAACAAAAATTATGAACTGTATTTTTTTTTTCAACAATGATGAACTATTGAGATTGTAAGAAAAAATAGTCAAAAAACAATTTATTTTTAATTTTTGTTTAACAAAAATTAACTTAGAAATTTCTTCAAGTATAAATTTTATTTATAGAACCATAGTACGAGTATTAAAATAGAATACAAATCTATTATAAAAATTCCGTTTTTTTTATACCTTTCTATTTTATCTATAGAAATACACCATATTAATGTACTGTGGCATAATAACGAAAATAATAATCATGAAAAGAAATTAAAGAAAGGTTATGCTATGGTTTTAATAACTGTACTACATATATAAAATTAAGAAATAAAATTTATTTGTTCTACTTTAGAAAAATGCTTAAAACTAAAAGTAAAACACATACAATATTACAATAATAACAACTGTAATGATAATAATAAAACAAAAGACTATACTAACTAATAATTAAGAAAATGTAATAATTTTTGTTCATACATATAATATGTTTGTATGTACGTATGTATATTAAAGATAATTTATATGTCTTTCTTTTCATACCCTTTTATTTATAAAAGTTAATTAATTCCTTTCGAAAATTATATATATTTTTGAAAAATTGTAATACACATAGGTGTTGTAAAGGAAGAACATATATTTTAGAGCAAGAATTTTTAGAAAAAGCCGACTAAAAACTCAAATAAAATAATCATAATTTCATAAAGATTTTGGGAAAGGTAAAAAATAAAGAACAATAATGTGAGAATATTTTTTTTTGTTACCAATTAAAAACTTAATTTATAATTTAAAATAAAGTAGAGCAAGAATAAACTTTAAAAACTTTCTAAAATTTAATTCAAATAAAATATATAATTTAATTTAATTGAATATTTAATCATATTATTCAAAAGTTTACAATTACAACAAAATAAAGCGAAAATATTTTTTTTAAAACAAACTAAACCATTTGATTCACTCAGCTGTATCACCAATTTGATTACAATTAATAAAATATACCAAATATACTGAGACTATAAAATCAAAATTATAAAATTAAATCATAATTGCTTTACACAACATACAAATTGCACACATTATTAATAATTATAATATTAACTGCTATGGAAGCTTATTAATATGAGACCAATATTAATACAATCATCATCATCATCATCATCTTCAATATCATCATCAACAAATAATTTAAATAATATTCAATCAACACAATTATTTTCATCTAATTTAAATATTTGTGATAACAATAATAAAAATAATTTAATTGTAATTAATAAAAATATATCAGGTGCCGATGATAATTTTAGTCATAGTCGTGAATTAAATAAATTTAACAATAATAATAATAGCAATTTAAATGATAATTCAAGATTAGAAATTTATTGTACTTTAAGACCACCAATATCAACAACATCATCATCACAACAAGAAAGACAACAAATGCATCATATACAAAAACAACATTTACCACAAAAACAACAACAAAATTTATCAAATAATAATTTAAAATTTAAGGATAAAAAAATTTCAAATTGTCAAACGAAAATAAGAAGAAACCATCAGGAAGAATTTGAAAATTCTTCTAAAATAAATGATAATAATCAATATAGTGATCAAAATTGTTATGATGATAATAAAACCGATAGCGATGATTACGCAGATAATTTAAAACTTTTAGATAATACCAAAAAAGAATCCACAATGTTGAGTCAAATAAAAAGAGAAGATCAACATGAATTTGACCAAAATGATGTAAGAAAAAGTGAAAATCTTAATTTATATAGTAGCAATAATAGTAATACAACTAATAATACTATTGTTGATTATGACAATAATAATCGTGATAGTGACTATAATAATGAAAATAAAGAAATTTATTGTTCAACAGCATTTTTAAGATTAAAAGGTAAATAAGATTTTTTTTTTCATTTTTCTCATTATGTGTTTATTTCAAAAAAAATAAATTCAACTTGTGCCGAAGTTTAAGGCTTAATTCTTATTCTCTTAATTCTAAATAGGATTTTTCTCTTCAAATAATTTTTATTTTTAAAAAATTAAAAACAATATTAAGCATACTCGTATTGGGCTTGGGAGCAATTTTAAAATTTTAATTTTATTCTTAGCATAGATATCTGATCACTATAATTAATTTAGTTAAAGCGCCAAAGGTATATTGAACTGTGTCCTTGTTATATTTACAGTGGTACATATTTATGCTATATAAAAATTCGATGAAGGTTATAATGTTAAGAAATTGGTTACAAAAAAGAATAGACATTTTGTTGTGACTTGCAATACATAGACTCTTAAAAACAGAATATCGTCGTGCAATCTCATTATAGAGCTATACAAATGACTTATATTTAAGTACAGTAAGTGTTGAGAAAATTTGTATTTCACGACTTTTACAAACTATTCGAAGCGAAAAATTTGTTCTATAAAATTATAAACTTTTAGCTAGAATCTACTACGCTTTAAAATTTCAATTTTCTATTTAAAAGAATGAACTGGACTGATTTATAAACTTTAATTTTCCATTTTCATAAGAACAAGTGAAAACATTGCTATTTTAACAAAAATCTTAAGTGTTGAAATTTTTTAAAAGTATAAAATCAAAATATTTATCCACGTTTAATGTATTACAAATTTTTGTGTACCTTAGGCAGTTATGAGCCTTTTTAGAGCAAATATATACCAAAAATAACTTTCTTCTTTTATACGTTATCAAACCTTTACTTATGTAACTTTCCTTTACCTTCTCTAAACCTTTACCCATGTATCTAATCTACTTCTACTTAATCTTTAAATAATTTACTGATTTCCCGGATTAAAGCAAAGATTTTTTTGCAACTTTTAAATAGCAAATTTAATCGGAGTGAAGAGTTCGTACGTGATTAATACCAATTTCTTTAAAAAACATGATTTTACATTTTAAATCATTCTTCAAATTCATTGAAGACTACCTAATTCAGAATTGGAAATTGTAATTGAAAATCAAAATTATTACATTATTTTATAATTTTTTTCGTATTTCATCCTTTGCGGGTGCTTCAGATATTGAAAAAGTTAGATCAATAGAAATGTATGATATTTCTCTATTAGCAAAACAAAAAAATATTTAATTAAAATATTAAACATTAAGTAATATTTTTCTATAATTTCTCTTCTATAGATAACGACAAAAATGTAGTTAAATTACCATATCCAGTACAAGATTCATCATCATCATCTGATGAACAAACAACAACATCATCAATATATCCATTAACGGATCAACATACAAAAAGTCCATTAGATTTGTTAAGTTATTGTACTATGAGTAAAAAATTAAAACAAATGATAGCACCATCATCATCATCATCGTCATCAAATAATTATCATCATCATCATAATATCAATAATAGTAATAGTTATTGTGATTTATCATCATCATCAAATTCAATAACAAATTTACCTTATCATAAATTAAAAGAATCTAAAATTGATTTAATGGCTGATGAATTAAAAAATTCAATTTCTATTTCAACTTTAACATCAAATTATGGTTTATCAAATAATCTTTCAACTGAATCATTAAAAAATGCCTGTGATTGTTATGATTTAACTGAAGATGATGATTATGAAGATAATACTGCCAATAGAAATGAATTTTTATTAAATAATAGTTTAAATGGAGAAAATTCTTTAAAATCAATAGATAATGATAAACTCAGTAGTAGTCATCAGCGAAAAGAAGAACAACAAAAAGCATTACAATTGCAAACAAAAGTCTCATCGAAAATTATTAATAATAATTGTCTATTACAAAAACTTGAAAATCGTTTAAATGAATTGAAAAAATATGAAAAAAATTCGATTTTAAAATCAAATCATTTATCAAAAAATCATCTGAAATCGCAATCATTGGATCGTAAAAGAAATTCATCAAATTATAGAACAAATAATAATAATCAGTTGAATAGGTTAACGAACAATAATGATTTAACAATTATTCATCCATCATATTGTACAATGAAACGTGATAAAAATGCAAATGTCGCAAATTTAACAAATAAACAAAATTTAAATTTGAAAATGAATGATAATGAACTTGAAAATAATATTTCATCAGCATCTAGTATTCCTATTACAACACCTTCTATTATAAGTACTAATACAAATAATAATAAAAATCCAATTAATTGCAATGATGATACAATAGAGAATAATTACAATGATAATTCCGTTAATTTGCAATTACAATCACAACAACAGCAACAACAATATGCTTCTTTAACAACTGAAGCTTTTAATATATTAAATGAATTAGATGAAATTTTAGCAAATACAGAAATAACAACATCTTCATCAGATGATGATGAATTAGTTTATAATAATAAATTCGAATTTGATTTTAATAATAAAAATCAAGATAATCATAACAATTTATTATTATTAGATGATGGTAAAGGATCACCAATACAAAGTGAAACAACAACTGAAAAAATTGAAGAATGCCTATTTGAATTAGATGAATATTTGGATGAAATTGATCGACAAACACCAAAATTATATCGTGATTCATCAGAAGATGATTATTTAAATGATAACATCGAATGGATGGATGATGATGATAATATATTATATTGTAATCAAGAAACATTAAAAAGATCAAAAACATTACCAAAAAAATTACTAAGAAGACAATTTTCATCATCAAATGGAAGTCCTAATAATACAAACGATAATAATAATGATGATGATCTTATTAGTATTGATTATAATTATAATAGTAGGAATAAAAATAAGAAATTCATGACAATAGATCGTAAAATTGAATTATTACAACGTGGTCATATCTTAAGGAATACAATAGCTGGTTTAAGACATAAGATTGCAAAAGTGAAATTAAAACAAAATGATTCAATTGAAACGAAACAATTTTCAAATAATGCAGCACAATCCAATTTATGTGATCGTTCAAAGAATGGTAAGTAACGTATACACACATTCATATAACAATAATGATGGTTTAACTTTTTTATTAAATATTATTTTCTGCGGTATATAAAGTCAAAATTTACATAACAATATAGTTTAAAATAGGATTACATTGTATAAGAAATAACCTTTTTATGCATTTTGGAGAATAATTTGAATATTTTAATATTTCAATATTACTATTCTATTTAAATAGAAAATTACAATATTTAAGAGATGCAAAAACTTTTAAGTGATTGTGAAAATAACTGTTTAGTAATTCAGTAAACGATGGCATAATGCGTCTTTCAATATAACACCAAGATCAGATATGAATCTGAAATGAACTGAATGAATTAGAGATCAGAATTCGGATTGATTATTAAATTTAGATAACATTTTTTTCTGTTGTATACCAAAGCATTGTTTAACCCATTTATATTCAGTAAATGTGAATTATAGTTGTTTTTTCAAAGAAAATTTAAATTATTCGGCAATGCTACAATATGTGCGATTAAATATTCAAATTATGAATTCCAATAGTTCGATCTAAATTATTATTTTTAAAATGAACAGGCAGAAAAATCTTCTTCGTTTCCAAATGATGGCGGTCTTATTAACAATTTCTTTATATCTTTCTTGGTCTCAAACCAGTTCAATTTATATTACTCCTCAGCCATGAAATTTGTAATAGTTGTGAGTTTCTCATACCAAGTTCGATGTGTGCTGTTTTTCGGCGTTTAATGGTGGTAAGTAGCTCATGCTCTTTGTTTATTCTTCTCAGCACTTCGATGTTGAAGACCCTGTCCATTCAAGAAATTTTCAAAATTTTGTGGTACAGCCACATTTTAAAACCTTCGGTTCTATTATTTCTGCTACTTTCAGATGAACAGAAACGATTTCGATAATTTTGTTTGACTAACAACTAAGTACTCGTAACTAAAAGTGATCAAAGATAATGACGCCTTATTTGAAATTTGAAAAAAAAAAATAATTAAATTAATTAAATAAAATTAAAAATAAATGTTGAAGGCACATAACAAATAAAAATTATCCTTTTCCATAATTTTCCAACCAGTTCTTTCTTAATAGTAAATGAAGGTAAATGGGGATTATTTCAAGATAAAAAGTCCCTCTTTCGAAAAAGTATACAAACATTTTAAAATGAAATTACAGTCACAACCAACTACTATGGACAGCAGTACCCTGTTCATACTACATAGCTCCCCAGTACATACTATTAATTAGCAATTTTTTTTTCTATGCAAGTTTTTCTTTATAATTAAATGAAGCAAAGAGTTAGGAAATCACTTTTTCTTTTAGTATTTTCTGTTTTCAAATGCGCGCGAAAATTTCGTTATAAAATGTTAGCAAAAAACCTCTACTAAAGACTTTTATGTTGCTATTTCTTATAAAAATATTACAATATAAAGTATAGTGCTCATCATTTGAAGAAAAACGAAAAATTTAAAAAATTTAAAAAAAAAAAATTACAAATTTTCGACCGATTTAAAAGCAAAAACTTGTAAACGATTTCACGCTTTCTTAATGTTCAAATAAATTTTTATCTATCATGTCTTTTGATTATTTTTTCATTATTTTCTTATTTTTATTTTTGTTAGTTAATTTCAACATGCCAAATTAGAATAGCTAAATTAGATGTTACAGAAAGTAAAAATTATATTCAAGTTTTTTTTTTTTTTGTATATTTTTCCTTAAAATTTTAATGCCGCATTCAATTTTATTGCATTTAAATGCAATTTCATTCAAGAGTTTAACATTTTCTTTTATTTATTATGCAGTTGTAATAATTGTTTTTCCATATTTATACAGGGTACCTGAGACACGATGGTTATGCCGAAGCAAGATAATAGAATGAGGCCAGACTAGCAAGAAAAAATATCTCCTTTTCAAGTATCTCCTCTGAAAGTATCCGATTTTCACATTTTCCTTACAATTCGGGAAATATAACTGGTAGAGTCAACTTTACGAAGTCATTTTGAAGCTCATGAAATTCCTCTTCTGCGATGTATCGTCGGTGTCAAAGACCTTTTTAGTTTGCAAAATACGTACAAGCTTCTATTCTGACGTTTATTTCGATACCGAACATTGGTTTCATACAAAAATTTCGGAATGTAACGAGCATGAATCATTGAAAAAATAAAAATGATGAGCCTGCTTCGAAGTTGTATCATCGAGTCACGCACACCCTGTATCACTAAATATATTATTGTTAATTTATTGTTTAAAAAAAAAACTAGACATCGTTCTCAGTCTAATAATTCGATATTTAAAATTGATAAAAGAAATTTTTCTTAATTTTTTTTTTTAATTCTTTGTGTGCTACAAGAAAATATAGATATCAAATTGCATGATGTTTTCGAAAAAAAAAATTAATTTTTGCATTCGAAAATTTTTATTGATAATTAAATCTAACCCGGATGTACCTATAACAATTTCTTAAAAATAAATCATGCAATTCAATTGAAAACTAAAAAAAAAAAGAGTACAAATTTAAAAATTAATACAAAAATTAAATTTCTCACGCTAATAGAGCTATTGGAAGTATGTGCAAATTTTGGATTTTTAAATTTTTATTGTTCGTCTTGAACTAATTACTTTTTACTAATTTACTGGTTTTTTTAATAATTTTTTCAAATAAAATAATTATTTGATAAATTTTAATAAATTTCGTATTAGATAATAAAGGTAGTTGAAAGTTTAGAGCAGTAGTTTAAGACGCTCGGATCCTTTTCGAAATATTAGGAACACTAAAGTTAAAAAACACAAATAGACAATAACAGTCATAAATCATAGAATTCTAAAATGGAAGGTTTTAAATTTTGAATATCATAAATTTTTAATTTGCAAGACGCGGATGAAACTGCACTATACTACTTAAAATTATTTTTATTCAAATATCCATTAAGCAATTTTTTTGTAAATTTCTGTGATATACAGGGCACAACAACCTTAATTTGGTGTAAGAAAACTCTATTAATATTAAAAATATTATTAACTTATAAATTCAAATTCCTTTTAAGCACTTTTCCAAAAATTTTTTTAAAAAAATTGCTTATTAAACTTACTCTGTCTGTCCGTCCGTCCGTTGGTATGTTTACAAAACTTCTAAATCTTAAAGATAGAAAGCGGAAATTTAATATGTGCGTATATCTTTACTAGAAACTTATTTCCGTAGAAGACATATTTTACCTATTTCCCCCCCCCCCAAAACTCTAAAAATGCTATTTTTTAACTATTTATTGCAGTGAACCCGTAAGCATTTTTCAAATTTTGCAAACGGATAAAAGCAGTGGCTTTCTTCTCCTATACTATAGTTAAACTTAAAAAAATCAAAATAACTTTTCAAATTTACCGTTACCTAAAATCCGTTGTTATTCTAATTTTTGATGCCGTTTTTTTTTAGGCCCCAGGTTGTTGTAGCCTGATATTTTAACAGCTTTTAGACACTAATAAATATTCGTTTATTTTGTTACAAGGAAATCTCCATCCCCTTTTACGTTATTGCCTCTTGAAATTTCTAAAATTTGAATTTTTGGCCCCTTATATTATCTACTGAACAATTGAACTCAACTGAATCAAAACAATTGAAAACTTGCATGAATTGTATTAAAAATGATATCGTAAAACCTCAATAAAAATTTTAAACTATAAAAAATTTTCCTATAATCAAAATGTTGTTATGAGCGTCAAACATTTTTAAAAAATCACAAATTTTAAATTTTGTAACCTTAAAAATTCGAAGTTATAAAATTTAGAACAAAATAATTGCTGAGAAAAATATGTTTTACTTAACATAAGTATTATAAAGACAATTTACTCGTATGTACCAATACTTACTTACAAAGTTAATAGCTAAATAAATAAACAATAGAAATTAGAACTCTAGAAAGAAATGAAGAACAAACAAAAATATAGTAAAATAATTTCATCAACATACATTCATATGTACTCGTATATGTTAAAAATTCCATAAAACAAACTGTCCGCTTAATCTAATCACAAATCTTTTTTCCCACCTATATACATATATACATACATACAGTAGTCTAGTATTCTCTCATTTAACATAAGAAAGTACAATAGATAATTTTTAATAAGTACATACATACATACTTATTTTCCATTACTATTGGTAATAAAACAATAGAAACATTGAAAACAACAAAACTTTACAATCGTGACAGTGTTTTTTAATAAGATTCATAAATGAAAGTAAATTAATATACAATAATTGAGGGGCTTTTCATTCAAAATATTTTTCATGAATAAAAGAAATTTTAAGCACATTCAGCACAATTTTAGTAACTATTATATATTTTTGAATATATTTAATTAAATAAAAATGAAATTTATTTAAATCGAAATTGCAGTAATACGGTACTTATTTACAATTTAGCTAACAAAGCACAAGGATAATATTTTATTTGATACTTTACGTATTAAGAAAATTTTGATTTCTCCCAAGTAGTACAGATTAAAAACAATACTTCAAGCGGGACAATTGATTTCTATAACTGATACAACAACCAATTTCATATTTAACTAAAATTTACGTAATGGGAATTTGTAAGGCAAATTTAATTTACCTGTGCAACAATAATATAACATAAGATAGAATCAGTCCTATAATGAATACTGAAATGCAAACTGCAAGACTTACTTATTACAATATTAAGTCTTATATAATGTAGGACAATTAGTACACATAATACTTTTTTAGTACTTACAATTTTTTTACAATTAGTTCTTGTAAATGCAGTAGCATATGAATAAATGCTAAAAGAAAAAACAAAAATTTAAACAAGTAAAAACGTTTCAGTCGGTATAAACCGATTGAATTATACCCTGCACCTTTCGTTGTTGTATAGCAATTACTCAAACCTGTGAAACCATTCTATAGAAATTTCACGGATATGTCTGATTTATAACTGGACACACAACTGCCAAGTTTCATGAATCTGACTTTATTTTTCCAAATATTTAAACTTTTGGACTTGTATGGGAGCTATTAAAATAAACTCTTGAGTTGTATGGCAGCTACCCGAACCCGTTGTCCGAATTAGTCCGATAACAATAGGGCTCGCCCTTGGCACAAAAGAAAAAACTTGTGAAAGTTTGGTGTCGATTGCATTATTCGTTTTTGAGTTATCGTGCGATCGGACGGACGGACAGATGGACATGTCTAAATCGACGCAGAATTTTACGCTGAGCAAGAATATATGTATATATATCTCCATACCGCAGATGACTCCTTCAAGTAGTTACAAACTCCATACCAAAGTTAATATACCCTTCACGAAGTGCAGGGTATAAAAACAAAAATTCCTGACACTAGCACCAAAAAATATTGCAATTCATAGCCTTTAAAAATTTTGCGCCAATGACATTCTGTGAAAGTACCATACATAAAAGCAAACGTTCTAAATTTGTTAAACATTTTTTTTAAACTATACAAGACGAACAGACGTACCAATATCAAAAATTCGGCATAATTACATATACAGTTATTAAGTCTGTTTTTTTTTCAATTTTATTCAAACAACATTACAATAATATCATATTATTTAATATAAGACATGAACAGAAGTTGAATTTCCACGTCGTTTCCCTTTTATTTTGTAATAAATCAAAAAAAAAAATTTTCTCACCAACTCAATTTTATTGTTTTGAATAGCACTGCTAACCCAGTTTATAATTTAAATTGTTCGCTCCGCTTTAATCGTCATAATTGAAGAATTCCAGTAGGAAATTGAAGAATAAACTAAAAAATTAAAAGCAGACAACAAAAGAACAAAAAAAAAATTTAAAATATAGTTGAAAATAAAAAGATTTTTTTTTTAAAAGGGTAGTCTCTTTTTGCCATTTGCATTCTAGAATACAAGAAAATTAAAGATTGAAATACAAAAATTACCAATAAATGAATTTGCATTTTATTTTTCAATTTGTTACTACAATATTATTAATTAATTTACGTATAAACTGGAATCCTTTAAATATCCTAATGTTGTAACAAAACTAGGTTTTCTTTATTGCATACTGACCATTTCGATTACTTTATTAAAACATTGCTATAGAGTTCACAACTTACAAAAAATTGATTTTTTATTCTACTTTTATCTTTGAATAAAAAATGAATTTTTATTTTGCCTGCTATGCAGTTAAAATTGTACATTCATACATAGGCAATTGTGGTCAGGTATCATAAACTATTAAACTATATAATGGTCATTATGGAAATACTAAACCACAATAACATTAATAATATAGATAGAATTTATCTGTATAGAATTTAACCTTTGCAAGAATTTTTTTTTTTGTATAGTCAAATGAATGTTGTCTTAGAAACGGAATTTGGTAAAACAAATCTTTTTTGTTCTATTCTGTATTATTATTCAAAACAGTTTACGTTTCAAATTAACGTTTTACCAAAAATGTTCTAAAATTAGTAATGTTATACACATTGAATTTTTAACAATTATTTATTGGAAAGAATTCATTAGATTAATAGTGCGAATATTTTTGGTCTTATTTCTTTAAAAATAATCGAAAATATTTTTAATAAAATTTTTCTTACAATTTTTAATAATATTTTTTTTCTTTTAAATTTTAGATTCTCCACCTAATTCACCTACAATTAACTCTAGGAAAACATGGCGTAGAAATTCGATGCGTAAAACTTCTTTAATTAATCTTCCTGATAATTGTCAAACTTCACTTCCTTTACCATTTCTTCCACCACCACCAGCAGCTCCTTCCAGTTCCTTAACAATTTCAAATAATAATAACAATATTGATTTAGAAAATAATTTAAATAATTCATTAATAAGAGATAGACAGCAGCAACATATTCAAATTGATAATATAATGGATAATTTGAATGAAACAACAACAATTGCAAAATCTGATTTATCAACAAATTCAACTCCAAATCATCGATATATGAATTCTTCAATAAATGATGATGTGAGTTTTTCTGATATTCGACGAACCTTATCGCATAATGATTGTAGGCATCAACAGCAAATACAAACGCAACCATTAGATAATTTAAATAATTTAGATTTAGTACACGATATTCTAAATAATGCAACTTTACAAGACTACTCCAATATAAACAATAACGATAATATAGGTGCCACTAGAAATAGAGAAAATTTAAATTTAATTGAACAACAACAACAGCAACTTGAATCACAACAACCATATCAGCAACCGCAAAGACCAAGACAACTTGGTAGACGGGCAGAAGGACATCCACGAATTCTTTCAATAACAACAGAAACTACAAATACAGGACAACGAATTATTGTTAATCATGATCGACCAGTAAGTGCACCAGCAGCAATAACATCTGGTCGAAGACAAGTACAAAACATTGCATCACCCTTATCTGGCATTATTGCAGCACCTTCTTCAGTTGAAAGTAATAATAGAAATAGAAATTCACAAGATACTAATTCCCAACAACATCAACAATCGAGATTTATTGGATCTGAAGCTAGCTCTATTGGTTCATCTAGAAATCCTAGTCCAGTTTCAATTATATCAAGTACTGGTTCAAGTTCTCTAAATTCAACAAATACTGAGAACCATACAAATTCTGAAGAAGATCGTCATCACACACAAGCCAGTAATGCTACTACAAATGGAACATCGTCTGCTGCACGTACATCTCCATTAGATCCTGATTTAAATTTTCAATTACACACGAATACTGGAATCAACGCATTTTGGCCACATAGTTTTAGTCGTATATTAGCGTTACTATGCTGCACTTTAGGTCTATTCAATATTTCAAGATTCTCAGTTCAAACTGTGCATTATGGTGGTAATTTCCTAATACAGTTCCTTATACTTTCTATAATTTTTGGTATACCTATGTTTTGGTTACAAATGTGCCTTGGTTCGAAAATTCGTAGTGGACCAGTTTCTATGTGGAAAATAAGCCCAATTTGTCGTGGTATCGGTATATCACTATGTTTAGCACAATGTGTCATAGCTTTATATTCGACAATAAGTTTAGCATGGATTTTAGTATATTTTCGCGATTCATTTGCCAAAAAAGATGAATATTATAGATGGCAAGAAGCATTCTACATATATCGAAGGCAATCAACAAATTTTACAACAACTAATTTAACTGAAACAATTGCTGATTATTTTAATGGTATTGTTTTACAAAGATGGCAACTTGGTTTAGGCAGACGAATAGAGACTGGAGGTGTTAGATTTCAGGTGAATTGGGTGTGAATTGTTTTTATTCTTGTAATATTTCATAATTATAATTTTCAATGTCAAAAACCGAAATTTACGATAAATTTTTTCTTCAATTTATTTCTAGCTGGCGTTTAATTTGGCAATAATATGGGCATTAGTTTTTATAATATTATGTAAAGGATTAAAGTCATTTGGAAAAATTGTTTTAAGTTTAACTGTAATACCTCTAGTCTTATTTTTTATAGTTACATGCCAATTATTATACATAATAGATTTTTCTTCAGTCCAGGTATTTATATAGTATTCTTGTTTCTAAAATTTTTAGTAAAACCCTTTATTTTTTTTTTGCAGAACATATTCTCAGCTTCAGATTTTGAAGCATTCCTTGTTAATTCGAAAACGTGGATAGCAGCGGCTCAAGAGACATTCCTTACATGGGTGTTGTTAAGTCCTTCAGTTATTTCCATTACAAGTAGATCAAATGAAAAGGATATTAGTAAAACAATATTACGTCGCGATGCTATAATTGTTGTACTTTTAACGCTTTTTGGATTAAGTTTAGCAGCAGTGTTTGGATATGCTTGTATACAAATTCTTCAAAACTATGATTATTTTTATTTACCAGGTTCTTATGGTAAGCTTTTTTTGGAATTTTTCAATAAAATTTTTGTCATTCAGTAATTTTTCTCCTTTTTAGAAAACATGGATTCATATTTATTCTTATTCAATCAAAAAAATCAAAACTCTCCCAATTCAGTTCCAATGAAATGGATACCACACTATTCATCAGTTTTGGGTGAAACATATCGCCGGCAGTCATCGGCCTCACAGCTGCGTGAAAGTGGTTATGAACCTTTACGATTGTGTACGGAATTATTTCCAGCAGTTGTCGCAGTTGCTCAAGATCAAATATCATCGGCATTCACAGTTTTAGGGTTTTTAGCTTTTCTATTTTTCGGTTTAGCTCAATTGTGCGCAATTTGGAAACCAATTTCAAGTGCTCTTGGAAATTCTTCAAGTTCAGTACTACTAAGTTGTGTTACTGGTTTGTTATTGGGAATACCATTTGCAACTGAAATGGGCTTGTCAATAATACATTATTTAGATCTAGTTATTGGTGGTGCTTGGTGGTTGCCTATTTTATGGACTGCTGAAATTTTTGGTGTGTTCTTAATACGGGGTCGCCCATATAATGGAGATTTACTAGTGAACGATCTGAAAATGGCTGGTTCTATGTCAGCATTTTTAGCTTTATCATGGAATGTTTTATTACCGATAGGTTTAGTTTCATTAGCTATTATACAATATAAAGTGTCTGGTTCAAATCAATTTTATTATTGGCGTGGTAAATCATATTTTAATTTTTGGGCAAGGAAAGTTGGTGGACTTGTTCAAGTTGGATTTTTACTAATTGTACCATTAGCAGCAATAGTACAGATTTATCGTTATTTAAACAAAGGTCCACCAGATATATTAGATGTAAGTTCTTAATTTACATTAAAAATTCTTAATGATAATTATTTAAATAAATTAATTTTAATTGAACAGAGAATACAAAATCTTTATCGACCAAATCAATCACCAGCACCCAATAGAAGACCGCGACCAGTTATTAATCGACCTACATCCGGTCAATCTACTGCCATTTCAAATACAAATAATAATGGTAGTGCAAGTATAGAGTCACAAAATGTTCAGGATGATGCTCCTCCAAAATATACTCCGCCACCATCATATACTACAGCAACTGGTGCTCGACTAGCCAAAATATTTAGACAAAGTATACGAAGAAGTGTACGACGGTAAGTAATCATATTTTAATTCAATCAATTATCAAATATAAATATATACTAAAAAAAATAAATTAAATTAATTGCCAAAATTTTTTCAACATTACTAATTTTTACAGAATTCTTGGAGAATCAAGCCGTACTCGTCCCATACTTCATACATCACCAACTATTGAAAATCATTTACCACCAGAATATTCAACTGTATTAACTGATCCGGCAGGTTTGAGTGGCATCGAGAATGATAATATTGAAATTGGACCACGTGTACTTTATAATAGCAATACAAATCGAAATTTATCTTCACTTGAACGTCAACGACGCCGTTTTACTGACACAAATATTGAAATAATAAATCGTAATCAAACGCACAACAATAGTAATAGACCAAATTCAGCTGAGCAAACAACTGGTTCAACTACATCTACAAATAGATTAAATATATTACCATTTTCTGCATCAGATGTTGCTCAAGTGTTACGCACAAATCGACACGAGAGAAGTGCATCAGCATTAGCAACACGTGTTGTTGATCATGCTCTACGTTCTTCATCACTTCGTTGTAAATCATCTCGTTCTGTTGAAAATTTAGTTTTAAATGCTGCACCATTAGGAGAAAGTAGTGCTATTGCTTTAAATTATCAACAAGGTGATGAAAGTCTACAGGACAACAATTATGATAAACGAAATAATGAAGAAAGAACATCTGTAATTTAGGGCAGAAATGCAAGCAAAATAAAAATATAAAATTGTAGTAAATTTATTTGTTTTAAGAAATTGTTACTTTTACAAATTAAATTTGAAAATAAATTATTGTATTAAATATTTTAAGTAATTAAATAACAATTTCAGTCTATGAAGTTTTATGGTTGAACACAAATTTTAATAATAATTACAAAAAATTAACAAATATGTACACAGAAATTAAATATTAAATTCAGCCATAATTTATTTGCCAGAATGGTAACTTTATATAATAATGAAAATTAAACAATTAAGAAGTTTCCCTTTTTTAACTTACTATTGTTAAAAATTATAATTAATTTGATTATGTAAATTATAATTAATTTCTATATTCTATATACAGAAATTATTTGTAGATATTTATAAAAAAATTAAATAGAAAAATTAAAATAAATATGATTTACCTATATGGCACCCCTGAACTAGAATTAAAATCTTAGACTATAAGAAGATTCAAAATTAAAAACAAAATTCTATGATCTATAAACCGTCCATATTCAAAATACATGCATATAATAAAATTAATAATTTCATTATAATATTAAAATTAATATTTTATGTATATAAATTAATAATATTGTATAAATTACAAAAAAAAAAATACAAAACTTTTAAAGCAAACTAGTTAACAAATTAACGATGTTATTAGTTATTTTAAAAAACAAAATGTTGAGAACAAAGTAGAATAGTGTTTTTAAGAATAAAGAATGGAAATCACTGTAAAGTAATGTTACTATATTATATAATAATATTTATTTTGAGTTGATTATCAAAAACTTATATTAAAAATATAAAAATTATGCTTAAATAAATTATTATTCTTATTATATATTATATAAGTTATTTGTGATTTTATTTAACTTTCTTTATATTCTAATTTTAAATTTTAAGCTCGAACAATTAGTAAATTAAGGGGATTTTCGAAAATTCAGTTCTAACTTAGATCTTAACATGGAACGTGTTCGATAATTCAAACTCCTCCAGCTCAAGAATAATCACATCTTTTTTTAACTTTAAAAATTCATAATAAAAAATTATTACAAACTTTTTATTTTTATTAAAATTTTAATTACTAATATCTTCAGTACTTAATTCAACAATTAAACTTAAAATAATAATAGCGTTCAATTAAAATTTTCTTATAAATTGTGTATAACAAATATGATAAAATGCAATATTTGTAAAAAAACAGCATTTACATAGTTTTGTTCTACATCCTCAATAAAAAAAAAATAAAACGTGCTTATAAATTTAATTTGTCAAACAGGCCTGTGTTGGCCTGTGTTGCTCTAATGTAAAAGGAGAAAGAAAAGATTCTCCCAAAAATTGTTTTGAGTTATTGCATTTTTCAACTAAACGATTTAACAAAGTCTAATTTAAGTAAATAATAGCTTTTATTGCTAACTCCTAATTGAAAAATTGTGTATTTCAAATAGAAGATTTCATGTAGCATCTCATTTAAACAATACTTGGTAATTATGTAGGTTACAGTAAAAAGCAATGTGAAACACATTTTATCAGCAATAACTTCATACCTTTGTAGCTCAGTTAGTAGAACGTCCGCCTGGAAAGCAGTAGATCACTGGTCCAATTCGAGGAGAAAAATTTTTTAATTTTTCTGCCTTTAACTCGTTCCTTTGATTACGTCATCCGTCTGTTCTGCAGTTGTATGAAGAAATTTCCACAAGTTATTCTTATAAGAATTGATAGACCTTAGTTCATTACTGGTCTTCCAATTCAAGGGCTATCTTACCCTAGCATTTCTATTTTTAACGTGAATTAAAACAAGAAATGCTAGAGTGCATTGTATTTTCATTTCCATATGAACCCATTTTACTAAAACAAAATGTGCTCTTTACACAAAGGTTAGTTTTTTTTTTTCAATTTTCTAATTTTTTAATATAATTTATTGCTGACAAATTTTTAATTTAGTCATTTATGAGCACTCTTAGAGAAAGAAACTTAAAAAATAAATTTCCACAATCAGAAACATTCTTATAATGAATCGTTGGGAAAAGAAAGTTGCTGTTGTTACTGGAGCAAGTTCTGGTATTGGTGCCCAAATTGTAAAAGATTTAATTAAATGTAAAATTACTGTCGTTGGATTAGCAAGACGTTTACACAAACTTGAAGAATTAAAAGGTGCTGTCCCAAATGAATTACAAAATAATTTTCATCCAATTAAATGTGATGTAACAAAAGAAAATGAAGTTAATTCAGCATTTGAATGGATTAATAAAACTTTAGGAGGAACTGATATTTTGATAAATAATGCTGGTATTATACGTTATGGTCGTTTATCAGTTATGAATACTCAAGATGTAAGAGATGTTATTGATACTAACATTATGGGAATTGTATATTGTACAAGAAATGCTGTTGAAAGTATGGAAAAACGAGGTGTTGATGGTCATATTATAATGATTAACAGTATAGCTGGCCATTTTGTCCCACGGGCTATGGATTTAACTGATATACCATCAATAAATATTTATCCACCATCAAAATTTGCTCTCAGAATAATGGCAGAAATGTATAAACAAGACTTTAGAAGTATGGGTCGTAAAATTAAAGTCACGGTAAATTTTTTTTGTTTTTACTTTATATTAGAAATTTTTGAAAAATATAATTTGATTTTCACAGAACTTAAGTCCAGGTTTAGTGAAAACTGAAATAATTCCAGAATCAATTATGACCTTAGAACTTCCAATTCTAGAGGTTGAAGACGTGTCAAATTCGATTTTATATGTGTTGAGTACACCGGCTCATGTTCAAATAAGTGAACTAACTATACAACCTGTTGGTGAAAAATTTTGAATTATGCAATACATAAAATAATACGAATATATTTGAAAATAAAATACACATTTAAGTTCCATTTTCAAAATTTATTTCAGAAGATTTGTTGTTCAATAGACAAATTCTCTTTACTAACTCCATTCTTTACTCAAAAAATTTTGTAAAATAAGTTTTAACTGTTTGATTTTTGCGATTCTTTTTACAATGACTGTTTACAATATTCCACCGAGTGGTAACACAATCAATTCATGTACTTGAACATGTGGTGGAGTATTTAAAGCAAATATTACACAATCTGCTACATCCTTTGGTTGCAATACACGTATATGTGGATTCTGTAATAAAAATTCTGGCACAATTGGAGTTTCAGTTAGACCCGGACTAATACCCTAAAAATGAAAATTTAATTCCTTATTAAATTACGTACTTAATAAACTTACAGTAACTTTGACATTACTCTCTGAGTTAAGTAATTCCTGTCGTAATACTTCAATCATTGCTGTAATTGCATATTTTGATGGTGTATACATATTTGTTGTTGGAATACTTCTACCCAAAAATGGTGGAATTTTATGACCATTTATACTATTTATAAAAATTATATGACCATCATTTTTATTTTCTTGCATATATCTAAAAGCGTGCCTGGTACAATTGACAGCTCCCATAACAAGAGTATCTAAAGTCTCTCTGATATCACTTAATGGCATTTTAATTAAGTTACCATGTCTTAAAATGCCAGCTGAATTTATTAAAAAATCTAATCTTCCATAATTTTTGAAAATCATTGAAAATATTTTATTAATTTCTTCATTATCACGTACATCACATTTTATGGTATCAAAAGATTTTTGTTGATCTGATGGTAATGATAATTTAAAATCTTCTAAACCTCTATGGTTTTTATCTAAACCAATAACGGTTGCTTTCGCATGTAGTAATTCTTTAGAAATAGCTTGACCAATACCAGATCCACTACCAGTTACTACAGCAATTTTATTTAATAAGCGATTCATTTTTTTTCGAATATTTTACAATATCATATGACAATTAAACTGATGATGGTTGTATTCAAATCTATTTTCTATAATAAATTACAGGGCTGTATTTTAGTTTAAATCTAAATTTTTACAATTGCAATTATTCGTGTACAATATTTTTTTAAATTAGGCTATGAAAATCGAAATTCAACTCTGAAAAAGATGAAAAAAGTAAAACAAAAAATCGATTTTTAAAGAAACCCTATATGAACACTAAAGAGTTGTATTTATTCTGTCTCGTAAGCTTTTACATACAAAATAACATACACTTGAATATTATGATGAATATTATGATTGCATATATTCAAAATATTTCACCAACCGGTTGCAAACAAATTTCATTTATTTGTACATGTGGTGGTGTACTCAGAGCATATAAAATTGCATTTGAAACATCCTCAGGTTTTAATTTTGGAATTTCAGAATTATTTAAAATAAATTTTGGTACCAATGGTGTTTCAACTAAACCAGGACTGATATTCTGAAACAAATTAATATAAATAAAATAAAATCTTATTATTTATACAAAAATATTCAAAAATTTTTATATTTACACACAGTAATTTTCACTTTCGATCCTATATTATTGAATTCTTGACGAAAAATTTCATTTGCTGCTCGTATTGCATATTTTGCTGGTCCATATATATTTACAGATGGCATTGCTTTACCCAAAAATGGTATTCGATGGCCAGCAATGCTATTCATTAGTATTATATGACAATTTGTATCTTTTTTTAACATAATACCAAAAGCTGATCTTGTACAATTAACAACACCCATTAAATTTATATTTAACGTATCTTTAATATCATCATAATTCATATTTATAAGATTACCATGTTTTAATACACCAGCATTATTTATTAGAATATCTGGACCATTTAGATTCCCTTTAATCCAATCGAAGCATTTTTGTACTTCTAAATCATTACTCACATCACATTTTAAAGAATGCAATCTTTCTGCTTCATCAGTTGAAATTTCATTTCGAATATCATCGATTAAATTTTGGCGACGTGCCAAACCAACTACTTTCAAATTTAATTTTAATAAATCTTTTGTAATTGCAACACCAATACCAGAACTTGCACCAGTTACTACCGCAACTTTATTTAACCAACGATTCATTTTTAAAAATCAGTCAAAAAAGGAAATTAAAAAACCCCTTTGTTGAAACTGAATAAATGAAAATTTGCAAATTATACAGAACGGTAAAAATAACAAAAAAGAAAAAAACAAAATAAAAGAACCATTTTGTTGCTAAAAATTTCTGTAAACAAATTGTGCAATATTTTCAGTTAATTTTAATGCAAAATGTTGCATAACAATGATAAAATATTTTTTTTTAAATTTCCTATTATTTAGCAGTAATGGAATCAACAAACTGGTCAGAAAATCATAAATGTGACATATAACAGAAAAACGAGTGATAAAATAAACAACTTGATCGTGTATCTCAAAGTTTTACTAGTCGAGTGAGAAAAACATGAACGTGTATTATTTATATTTGTATAATATCATATATTTGTATAATATCATAAGTGAGAAAAATTTTATACAGTGTATACCTACCACAATATTAAAATTATTTCCATTCATATACGGAACTATTTCTAGAATTGCATATATTTGGGATCAACGACTTATGCAGTCTTTGAAATAAAGCAAAAATTAATTTAAAGAGGGCTTAACATAACGCTCAATTTTAAGGGTTAATTGCGTGAATCATGGAATTTACCGTTAGCTTTTTACGTTTATAGAAATTTGAAAAAGCTTGTGGTTTCGGGAATATGAAGCGTCAAATTTTAAAACTTTCGAGAGGCGATAACTTGAGAGGGGGTGGAGATAGAAAAAAAATTTCTTCCAACGAAATAAACTACTAATTAGTGTCTAAAAACTGCTAAAATTTCAGCCTCCTAAAACATGGGGTCTAGAAAGAAAACGACATCAAAAATTTGGAAAAAACGGATTTTAGATAACGGTAAATGTTTTTGTTTTTCTAGAGTTTAACTTTAGTGTGAAGCGATAGGAGAAACAAGCCGCTGCCTTTTCGCATTTGTAAAATTTGAAAAATGCTTATGGTTTTACTGCAACAAATAGTTGAAAAATGGCTTTTTCAGGGTTTTGAGAGGTATAACCTCTAGGGGGGAGATAGGTAAAAATTTTCTTCTACGGAAACAAGTTTCTATTAAAGATCTATGTAAATATTAAATTTCAGTTTTTTATCTTCAAAGGTGTAGAAGTTTTGTAAACATGTCTCCACGGACGGACGGACGGACGGACATAGAGTGAAACTAATAAGCACTTTTTTTCAAAAATTTTTAAAAGTGCTAAAAACGACAATTCTGGTTTGAAAGTGAATAAAAATCGAGGTCCATGACAATGTTGTTTGAATAAAACAAAATTCTAAATATTTTTTTATTAAAATTAATTATTATTTGTGTTTTCCTCCAAATTACTTAAACAAACAAGAAATAAAAATCATTTTTTTTTTCGTTAATAAGCTGGATGAGGTTCAACAGTTAATTCACTTATTTGTACTTCTGGAGGCGTACTCAAAGCAAAACAAACTGCATTTGCGATGTCTTCTGGATTAATAGCTGGTATTTTCGAATTGATAATTTCTTGTGGTACAATATCAGTTTTAACTAAACCAGGGCTTATGCTCTGTAAAAGAAGTAAAAGGCAATTTTAAAAAATGAAATTTTTTAAAAATCAAAAAAGCTTTGAATTTTTATAACTCACTGTTGTTTTAATTTTTGTTCCTAAATTTTGAAATTCATTTCTATATGTCTTTACCATAGCTGTTATACTGAATTTTGTTGGTGAATAAATATTAAAAGATATTGGTGCTTTAGTAACTTCATGGCCAAGTGTACTATTTATAAATATAATATGTCCGGCTATATTATTCTCTTTCATTATTTTAAAAGTTTCTCTTGTACAATAAATTACACCCATTATATTTGTATTAATTGTCTCTTGAATTTTTGATGTTTCCATTGAAATTAAATTACCATCTCTAACAACACCAGCATTATTAATTAAAATATCAACATTTCCAAATTGATTTTTAATTAAATCAAAAGCTTTCTTAACATCATCTTCATTTGAAACATCACATTTTATTGAATTTAAAAGATTCCGTTGAATATCTGAGAGTTCCTTACGAATTTCTTCGATTTTTTCCGGACGTCTTGCCAAACCAATTACTCTTATATTATTTTTAATTAAATCTTTAACAATAGCAGCACCAATTCCAGCACTAGCACCAGTTACAACTGCTAATTTATTTGCCCAACGATCCATTTTAAAAATTGAAATTATTTTTTTTTTTTATTTTTCTTTTATTGAATAGCGACGTGTTGAGGTAAGAGCACCAAAAATTCAATATAGACTAAATTATAAAATTTTATTTTATGCTTAATCATGAACTTTTCATTTGATATCCAAAAAAAAAATAATGTGATTTGAAAGCAAATTCAAAATTTTAAAATATTTCTGATTATGCGTATCTTATCAAGAGCAAACTCTACAAAATGAACGATTATCTCTCTCCCCTTAAATTTATGTTGATTTTATTTAAAAAAAAATATGATTTTCAAAATAAGTAAATAACAATTTAGTGTTTTTTGGAACAGCAATTTAGTGAAGAATTATTTTGGAAGAACAATTTTTATATTTCATACACTCATAAAGTGTTTATTCGTATAAAGTGTTGTATTGTTCCATACCCAGATTTTCACTAAATTTATAAATTTACGATAATTTTCCTTAAATTACTCACTTCTGAAAAGAGTCCAGACATTAAGCCAATAATGGATTTATGTGTTATTTTCAATACTTTACACATGATTCGCTAAATTCTTGACAACTTGATATTCATAAAAATGGATTTAGTTCGGTTTGTTCATGCAGGATCGCATAATACTTCAACAACGTTTCCAAATCATAAATGTAATGTGATTTTTAAATAATTTGGCAAAATATTAATTAAATACAAAAATAATTACGAATAAATATAGCATTTTATGTGATCCATTAAGAAGTTTCCAATTTTCAGGCACTTTTTCTAACATTTCGATATACAACTAAAAACACAGCTAATATTGCTTTCAGAGTTGCAATATCTAGACCATCTACAATTTGACCAAATTTGATGTACCAACAAATAGAATAATTTAAATTGCGTCAAAGCATTTGGTCTCGGTGGCCAATTTACAGTTCAAATACTTAAAATTACAATTGTTCACCGAGCGTATTCCTAAACTTTTCTGTATAATATCACTCGTATAGAGTGTCAAAAGCATAAAAAAAATTAAAAAACACTAAACAGCAAAAATATCATCCGTTAGTAAATTATTTAAGACCTACATTAACAAAAAATTTGTGTACACATAGTTAAAATAATCGAGTATAACAATATGATGTTATCTAGCAGTTCATTCTCTTCTAAAATATTACAAAAATAAACAGACACCCAAGATTAATTTAAATCTATTTCATAATTTTGCAATTGGGTTAATATACGGAAAAATAATAATTTTTAATGCAATAAAGAAGTTAATTTCGGTATTTGCTAAAATTGAATATCGCCTATTTTATGCAACTTTATACCTTAACTCAAAACTTCAAAACTTTTATACACTCGACCTAGAACTTCACGGGAACTATTTTCAAAACGGTTTTACGAACAAAATATTGTAAAAATTCCGATGACATTTTCAGTTTCAGATGTGTGAATGATCACATTTTTTAAGTTTTTTAAAGCAACCACCAGAGGAAAAGGATGCGAAGTTGCCTTTTTTCTGTGACTCCACTCTACTTTGAAAAGAAAACTATATTCATTTGCATTTGCCAATTCGAATTGATTAGAGTTCTCAATTTAGCAGTAAACTCGGCACCTCATTAATGTACTATCACTTAATCGTGATTAAATAAACTCTTAATTAAACCAGAACAAAATATAAACCTATACCAAAATTATAGAGCTACTTTACTGTATATTGACTCATGTATTTAACAAAACTATCTAATTTAATAATTTAATTTATTGTTTTTTTTTAGTTGTTATCAATGAAATAAAACGAAAACGTGTAAGTGAATTGAACAAATGAAGAAGAAAACACAAAACGCATGTATCCAAAACTCTTCATTATCAGATTGAATTTGAAATGTAAATATGTTTCAATTGCTTCCAGTGTGATTAAAATTAATTTTATATAGAAAATGTGTGGAAATTTTAAATAGAATTTCGGGGAGACTAATTTTATCAAAATCTTGCGAAATCAGACGTCCCGATATATGATAAAGGTTAAGTGTTTTGAAAACTATATCATTTCAGTGATCAAATGGGAAAATATCTTTTCTGTCATGATTTGCCTGAATATAGTAAAAAAAACGCTTGAATTACAAAGAGTACCAGGATTTCTAGAAAATTTTCTATGCCTTGCTTTACTTGTTCTTGTTTTACTTGATACTTGTTCATTATTCCTAATGTTTGAACTTATCGTACTATATGCAAATTAACTTTGAGACGAAAAAAGCTCGTAATTATTTGACGTAGTCAAACCGAAAGAAAAAATAACAGTACTCAACCCAGAAAATGTTCCGGTTTCAACCATTTAATCACTTACTTTGTACCGAGTTCTCCGTTTTCTTAATTTAATTAAATTGTTAAAAACTTAATGAATTTCATCAGTGTTATAAGGGGCAATTAAAATGACCAATTATCACTGATAACGAGTAGTAATTTTATACAACTAAATTAATTTTTTTTTATCATAATAAATCGTATACATTTTGAATAAGTTTATAGATTAGTATTTTACTAAATGAATATTAAAATTTATTAAAATCGAAAAAATAATTAAAAAATAATTGTTAAGCTCATATATTTTTTTTTTATATTCGAATTATGTAATTTGTGCAGAAATCATCTTTTAATTTTATTAAAATTATTCTGTTGATTCTGTTGTTTTAAAAGCAGTTACAACCAAATTAGTTATTTGAACCTTTGGTGGAGTACTCAAAGCAAAAAATACGGCATTTGAAACATCTTCAGGTTTAAGCATTAATGAATTTTCCTTTGAATATTCTGCTGGCATTAATGTAGTATTCATCGGTCCTGGACTTATGTTCTGTATACAAAAAAAAAATAAAATATTTAAACATTAACTAAACTAAAAAAAAAAATTAATTTATAAAACGTTAATTACCGTTATTTTAACCCTTGTCCCTAAATGTTGAAATTCTTGTTTATAAATATTATTGATGGCAGTCAAAGCAAATTTTGTTGGACAATAAATATTTAATGATTTTTTAGATATATTCGGTACTTGTTGACCACAAGAACAATTCATTAAAATTACATGACCAACATTATTACGTGCTTGCATACTTTTAAAAGCTTCTCTTGTACAATATACAACACTCATTAGATTTGTATCAATTGTTTCTCTAACTAATTTCGCTTCCAATGATAATAAATTACCTTCACGAAATGCTCCCGCACAATTAATTAGAATATCAATACCACCGTGTCGTCTTCCAATAAAATCAAAAATTTTTTGTACTTCTGGTTCATTGGTAATGTCACATTTAATTGGAATTAAATAAATACGAAGTTCTTCTGGTAAATTAATTCGTATATCTTCCATATTTTCGAGACGACGTGATAATGCAACAACTCTTATTTTACATTTTGCCAAATCTTGTATAATTTGTCCACCAATACCAGAACTGGCACCAGTTACAACAGCAAGTTTATTTTCCCAACGTTTCATTTCAAAAAAATATTAATTTTCAAAATAATTTCCAAGTTATATAATATGAAAATATTTTTATTAATTATAAAATAATTATAAAATTTATTTCCGGAATATTTTTCGTATAAAAGATCTTTACTTAAAGAAGGTAATAGAAAGACTGAGATTTAAACTATTCGAAAATTTTATTATAAATATTAAAGTATACAATTTTCTTTTAAAAAAATAATTTTAAATAGCAGTGATGTGGAACAATTTCTATATATATATATATAATAAATAATAAATATCTTCCAAAATAAATGTTGATATTTTAAGTATTTCTCAGTAATGTATTTACGCATATTGGTTTTAATTAAATTTTACATTTAAAATATAATTTAAATAATTTATATTTCAATATAAATTACATAATAAATAACAGTTATTTAAATGTAATTAATAATAATTTACTTACATATATTATTAATAACAGTAATATTCGCTATAATATGCATTTGAAAATTAACAATTATTGCATAATGTGAGGAGAACCGTTTGAAAAATAATAACATTGATAATAAGAAAAACCATACAAACTCTTACATTAATTTAGGAAATGGATTGGCATAGTAGTAAATAAAAGTTCAAAATTTGTGAGACGATAATATTACCGTAAGGTTTTTAGCTTTTGTAACACTTAAAATTGAAAACTACATAGGTAAGTTGCAACTTTTCTGGTTCAAAGGTAAAACACAATTTGCAAGTACTATAAACGCACAGATATATGTAGATTTCTTCTATATGACAAAAACTATAAGAAAATGTCAGTATAGTGAATTGGTTCATCAAATTAACCGTTATCTTAAAATTTGATTATACTCGGGTTATTATCGCCTATCCCACAAGTTTTTTCTAAATTTTTATTTTTGTGTCAACATAATTTCGATACTATGAGATTTATCGAAATTGTTTTAAAGCAAGAATGTACCAGTAGCCGTCCGTCCTTTTTAATATATCATATTTTTAATATATCCGTCCTATTTCAATTTTATGCTTGCACAAGCTTAATTTTTTTCGAAATTATTTTCATTTTTTAATGTTTCATCCTGAATATATGCAATATTTTTTGACAATATCTTTACAATATATTCATATATCGTACCATTTCCCCCCACTTTTTTAAAAAATTTTTTCCACTTTTTCTGCAAATCTGCAAAGAAATACAATGCATTATTCCTTAATTTGTTTATTGTCAAGCACTGCACAAGTTCAGCTCATCCAAAATTTTAAACTACTCATTAGCCAAATATAAATAAATTATTTGCGTCTAATGAAATTTGTAATTGAATTTGCAATGATTTGTTAGATTAGTTGCTTTTTTAGCAAAAATTATAATAATCACTATGGTAAAATTTATTGAATAATTAATAATGGTAATTAAATTAAAAATTTTAAATAAAATTTTTATGTGTTATATATTACACAATGACAAACCTTTGATAGTTTGTAAATTCAATATTATTGTGTAGTAATAAAAATTTAACGAAAAAATTACTGGCTTCCATATACTGACTGTCATTCCACCTCCTCGTACAGGAAAATTCATTCTTTCGCGACCTGTTTTCTCTTATCAAAATTTAAATACACTGCGTTGTTAATGTTTTTCATAATTAGTGAAGTTTTAGTAAATGAATATATTAGTGAAAAACGGATCGAAGGGTACACACAAAAATTTTTTTCGGAAAAATGTTCCATACCACCGAAATTTTCACTTTTCAAAATTTTTTTTTTTCCATTTTATTTGGTTTTTCTACTGAAAATTTCTAAAACTATTTTTAAAATACTTTCCTTAACCATTTCCTGTATATATTTTTTAAAATATGAATATAATATATTATGTATTGACACATTTAACTTAAATTTTCTAACTCTTATATACACAAAAGGCTATTGTTTTGGTTACGCATGAATTCTGCTTTAAAACCATATTTATAGGAAAAACAATTAAATAAATCGTGTTATAAAAAAAATTTTTGGCAAATTTTCATATATCATATGTGTTTGTACTTGAAATTGAATTTAGTCAAGAACAATTTTTTGTTCAAATATACATACAAGTATATAAAAATACTGGAAATATACTTGTATGTAAAAAAAAAAGAACACGTTTATGAGTAAAATGAATTTCTTTATTAATTTCAAAGAAAACCCCCAATTTAAAAGACATGATCATTAAAAATCAAATGAGAAAAATTATCAAATGATGGTCATTAAAATAATTTTCAAAAATTCAATGTGAAATAAAATATTCATGATTTTATTTAATCAATTATTATGGAAAATACAACCAATTTTCACTTAATTAAAAAAAAAGTACTAAAATTATTATGATATAATTTATTGAAAATAGAATTCAAAATTTTTTAAATTATATCATTCCCTCCCCAATGTCGGATATAATCTCAATAAAAAAAAATTAATTGTTTTAAAAATTATATTCAATATTCAAAAAAATTGAAAAAAGAAAATCATATAGAAAAACAATAGAAAAATTACACAAACTATGTTGTTTGCATTTATCAAATTTTGATCAAAAACCAAAACTATAAAGCGAAACTGACTCGTGCACAGATTCCTTTTCATTTAAATGGCATTTAATAAAATAAAAAAATTTCTAATATCTTTGTTTTTTAAAATCATTGTTTCTTTTTAGTTAAAGAAACACTATTCTAGTATTCACTAATTAACACTATTCGAGCCTATTAATAAATAAAAAAAAAAAAACTTTAAAATTAATTTTTGGAAGGGTACGGGAAAATGGGAACAAAACTATTGGGTAGTTTAGGGTTAGGATAATTTCTAAATCGAGAAGAGAACAAATTTAATTTTTAAGTTACCCTATGGTATTCAAACTTTCAAAGAAAATTTTTAAACGGTCATTTGAAAATTTATTTTATTCACAATCTTATTACTTGTCAGTCCCTGCACAAAAATTAGAAAACTAAAATTTTATGTAAAAATAGAATCTTTGATAAAAATGGTTTTCAAAAAATTTTCACCTCACTAGCAATTATAACTTTCCAATAACATAAAAATGCCATCTTCAAAGCCAGAAAGTTGTAAATTTTAGAAGTTTAAATTTTAAATAGTTTGCTGATTTAAATAAATGACTAAATTTTTCCACAAAAAAAAAATCTTTTCTAAATTTCTCGATGAAATTAATTTTGATAACATGGAAAATTAAAACAAAATCTCAATATTTGGCTGCTTATTTTTTCGAACCTGTAATGTTTTCCTAATTTCTCTCAAAACCGAAAACTAATACATCAAATTTTTTCCCAAAAAAAAAAAAATATATTTAATTTCAAATTTTTAATCTTATTCATTCAATAAATAATTTTATTTTAATTCACCAAATTAAATTCGCTTTTTCAATTTCTTAATGTTTCTTTGAATATTTGTTGTCATCCAAAAGGTATGCAATTTTTATGAATATTGTAATTTAAATCCAATTAACGAAAATTACAAAATATAATTTCCAAAGGAAATGTGTTGCTTTATATAACTTTGATTTGATAACAACAATGCGAATTTATTTATATTCATCCTTTATTTAAGAAATTTTGCTTCACTTAAATATTTTATTTAAACATGGCCTACTTCAACTTTTCTATACCAAACTGGAAAATGAAAATCCTTTCCTTAAGTTACCATAATGCTTTTTAGCCTCAAACATTTATTGAACGTGTTAAATTTCTACAATAAAATTAAATTTTTTAAAATACATACACTGCTATGTTTAGATGTAGTTACGCTTCTTTTACTCCCTCAAAATTTTTTAATTATTCTTAGAAGAAAAAAAAATGGTTTTTATTAAATAAAAAAATTCTACATGCATTAAAAAAATTATTTCATTTTGATCCACGCTCTTTTATTAATTGTTTTTTTTTTTTAATTCCCGGTTGAATAAACAATTGAAGATCATAATTTGTTGCCACACAATAAACCAACCTAAAAAAAATTTCCAAAAAAAAAAAAAAAATTACACATATTAAAATGGTCATATTCAGATAGCAACATTATAAGTTTAATGTGCCGGTAAATTATACATGAATATTTGATTAAATTTTGGAAATCATACATAAAAAATAAAATGAACATTTTACGATCCATTAAGAAACAAGTCAATTGTCTTAATAAAAAATATTAATCATAGATATTTTAAGAAATTACCAAAACATTGTTAAAAACAAAAAAATTAACTGATCGAGGAACACAGAACTTGATCACACATATGTAACTTTTTTTAAATCTGCATGTTATGGAGGTAAATGACCTTTTCTACATTTGATTTAAGCATATTTGAATATTACTGTATAATAAAATATTACAAATTTAATGAATATGATCAATTAGAAATTTTACTATCCAAAATGTCTTTTTGATAATTTGAATTCTGTTGTTCTATATATAAAACTTAATAAGAAATAAGTCTTTTCTGTTAAATTTACAACAAATTCTCTTAATATACAAAAAATTTCGAATAATTCAAACAAATCTCCAACATAGTTTAAAATTTTTATATATAGAACCATAAAAATGCCCTTAGAATTATAATATAGGAAATATTTAGTACTTAGCATTATAGGTCTGTCTTTCGAGCTATCGACCATTATTATGTCCATTAAATTATTGAAAATTTAGTTTCGGTTCTATTTTGTTCTAGGGTAAATTGGTGGCAATAATTAAAATTAAAAAAATTCCATTTAAAAAATTCAAGAAATTCAGATGCAATTGGAATAGGCTAAGAAATCGTCCTGTTCCCTATGTTTTCATTGATAATGATAACTCTTGTCTTTAATTACAATAATTTATTTGAAAAATATTTTGATGTAAGGATCAAAATTTCTCTTTCTAGAAATTTCACTTATTTAATAAGAACTTGTTTGATTAGCAAATCGATTAAGTCAAACATTTTAAGAATAAGAAAATTTCATCGAAAATTTTTCAATAAAGCCATGAAGAAAGAAATTCTTTAAAAAAATTTTCTATTGTTATTTCAAACAATTTTATTTTTATTCCAAACATAAAAAGTTTTACATAAATTTTAATTTAAAAAAAAAAATCTTTTTTTTTTTTTTGTTTTCTGTTCCAAAGTTAATAAAATTTTTATATTTCTCGATTTAGAATTTTACTGGTCTTCATTGAAATTACAAAAATTTAATTAGTTTCACCATATGGTTGAATTGTTAGTTCACTGACTTGTACATGCGGTGGAGTATTCAATGCATACATAACAGTATTAGAAACATCTTCAGGTGTTAACATTGGTTTACCAGAATTTAGTGTCTCTTCAGTTAAAAATTCAGTATCAACCAGTCCTGGGCAAATGCTCTATAACAAAAAAAAAAATTTTTTTTTTTTTTCGACAATAAAAGATTTTATAGAAATATTTTTTTATAGCAAAATTTACAAACTTACAGTAACTTTAATTTTTGTTCCCAATTGAGCAAATTCATGTCTATAAACATCAGCAATTGCAGTTAATGCAAATTTTGTTGGAGCATAAATATTTAATGATTTATTATCTGATTCTGGACCATCTGGAATTTGTTTACCAGCAATACTATTTATAATAATGATATGACCATCAACATTACGTGATTGCATACTATTAAATGATTCTTTTGTACAATATATTGTACCATATAAATTTGTATCGACAACTTTTTTAATAGTTTTTAAATCCATTGCAATTAAATTACCTTCACGAAATATACCAGCATTATTTACCAAAATATCAACTCCACCATATTTAGTAATAATTTGTTCAAAAGCTTTTTGAACTTCTTCTTCATTTGATACATCACATTTCATCGGATTCAAATAACTTTGTAAATCACGTGGCATACTTAATTTTATACCTTCCATACGTTCGAGACGTCTTGCTAATGCAATTGTTTTAATTTTTGATCTTGCTAAATCTTGTACAATTGCAGCTCCAATACCTGAGCTAGCACCAGTTACAACAGCAATTTTATTTTCCCATTGACTCACTTTATCCTTATTATTGGTCATTTTTTTTTTTTTTTATTTTCTTTTAGTTAAGTTTTTTGAAAGAAATTAACAAAAATAAAAAATTATTAAATTGAATTATTAATAATTTATTAATATTATTGATCCGAACTGTAGAATGATCACTGAAAGACTGCCTAATTAAATGATATTCAAATTTATTATAAAATCATTTTTTTTTTCTTATTATAAATATAAAATATTTCTTGTACATTATTTCATCTTATATGATATATTTTTTAAATATATTAATTAGGTTTTTTTTTATTTTTCAGATGTTGGCAACTTACATAAAAGCATGAACGAAATTTTCATAATCAATTAAAATTTTAAACAATTATGCCGTCATATGATTGCAGCTCATATTCCTAAACTGTAAAAAAAAATATGAACCAAAAAATTTTATTCTAATAAAATTAATAAAATTTTAAAATAGTTTGTGAGTTTCCAAAAGAATGCATTTATTACAATTAATATATAAAAAAAAAGTGTTGCATAGGCACTTCCCCATAGAACGTCTTTTCGAGACAATTTGAAAAAGTCATGAATTCCAATACAGTTTGCAGCATGATAAGTCAAAACTGAAGTTATCAACAGAAATGAGGGCTTTAATTGCATATATTGTAGTGAGTGATTGATGGTTTAGGAATAGATCATACTTTTTATATTCTAAACAAGACACACATGGAAAAGTTCACTTTATTCATTATAAATAAATCAAAGCAATTTTAAATTCTTCATTCTTTCCAATAAAATAATTTTACTACCCTGTCTTTGTAATGTCCAATATTTTCATTCTTTTAATAATTATATATACATTTGCACTGAGAACAAAAGTCTATTCTATTGGTCATGCATGATTAAATAAAATATTTCTGGTATTTCATAATATGTATTCGTATAGTAATAGTAGACAATCTTAGGGGCTCATAATTATATTGTTAAATTATATTGATATAGAATAAGTGAATAAACTAAAGTTTTTTGACTTTATATCATTAAAATATAACGAAGACCGAAAATACTAATTTTCTATTATTATTTTTGTTAAGACATCAAAATTAGAAACAAATTTGAATAATTTTTTTTTTGTCTGAATTTAATATAGAAAAATTACTTCATCCAAATACAAAAGGGTCGATTTATATTAAAAAACAAAATTTCTTAATTAAAATGGTAATTTTTATCGTAAATAATTATCGTTTAAATTATCGTAAATAAATTATATTTTAAGTAAATTACTCATTCTTGCCTTCTCTTTTACAGAATCCCATTGCATATTAAGTTTAATACTATTAAATATTAAATTATACATCTCTTATAACAATAGCAGTTATCATAAAAATGCATTAGAATTAAAGCTTTCAATGCCTAAATAAAAATTTTTTGCTACAAACCCCAAAGGGTAAAAAGCAAGTCAAAACTTTTGATTTTGAACCTTACACACACTGCAATATTATTAATTATGAAATTCAATTTTCATATAAAATTTCTTGAATTTGGTTGAACGTATCAATAAAAGTAGGTCTATAATCTATACTATAATAGTAGGTCGACTTTTTAATATAATGAAACTGTAATACATTTGGAAAACTAACCCCGAGAAGAATCTGCCTCCTGTAAAAAACATTACATTTGTTTAAATCTTTCTATTTTAATTTGTGTCTAAAACAGAATTAAGGAATGAGCCAAGGAACAATACTCTCCCATATATACTATAATAGAATGGATGGTTGGAAATACTTAACGTAGTAAAAAAAAAGAGCGCAACATGTTATTTTCTAAGAAGAAACTCAGAAGAGTTTCCCTCTCTAAAGAAAATGTATACTACGAAATAAGTAATGTTTCATTCAAAATGTTCGTCCTTTATTTGATAACATTATTTTCTAATTATATCTTTCATTATATTTTTAATAATTTTAATTTAGAAATATAAATATAAACAATTTAATTATATACGTTATAGAAATTATTTTTACATTAATGCAGCCAGAAAGCTCACAGTCATCTTCAATTATAAATGATTTAGTTGTGATTATCAAATTTATTTTTAAAAACTTTATGTTAGAACTAAACGAAATTCGATTTATTCAAGTATATAAAACACGGAATAAGGAATAAATTCCTCCAAAAATTTAATAATAATTTATTGTTAAACAAAATCATGAAAATTCTAGTTCTATCAATTCTTATTATATTTATCTCTTGGACATTTTCAATGGTCCAGGGTTTTTATAATATTGATATTATTCTACAATTTACATATAATTTAACAAAAACACGTATATTTCATAATTTTATAATATTTTATTCTAATAATGATGTCACATGGGAAAATTTAACAAGAAAATTACAACAAAATCTTGAAATTCCAACAACATCATTTAATGTAAATGATAATGTAACCAATCAAAAGAAATTTCATTTTGCAAAAGATTATAATACAAACGCCGTAATATATGCAACAATAAATCCATATGAAATAAGAAATGATTTTGATTTGAATTCAAATCAAATGATAAATTCATTGAAATCATCATTAAATGGAATTCATGAAGCTTTAGTTTTAATAATATATGATTTACCAGAGAATGATAATAAAATAATTGATATTGATTCAAAATATATTTATAATATAACGTATAAGCTTTGTAGAAAATTATGGATCTTAAAATTTTATAGAATTTCAATATTCATATCAAATTCTATTGATTATAAAATTATAACATATACGCCATTTCCTAAAGTTCATTTAATTGATATAACCAATTATGATGATTCAACAAGTTTATTATATAGGAAAACTACTTTAAATGTTCATAAGCGTGCTATGAGAACAATTGTATATGATAGTATTCCAAGATCTATAATATTTAATAATGAAAAAGGTAAGATATTTTTGAATTTTAAAAATTTTTAATATTGTTTAATATTGCGCTTTATAACTGATATATTTTAGAACCATACCTGAATTAGTAAAAGATTTGGAAATTCTACCCTTCTCTAACAAAGGGATGTAAATTTTCATAAAAACTGTTTTGCTCCAGAAAATTCACTAAAAAACTATAATATAACAAGAGTATTAGAAGACACCTTATCAATCAAATTAAATTACATCGGACCCTAGTTTTGTTCTCTTAATTTTGTATGAAAATTTAAATATATGCTCTTATATTGAACAATTCAATTTAATTTGGGGTATACTTAAACTAGAAAATTGAAACAGTTTTATATTCAGCAGTATTTAAATAATTTTCATTTACTAATATAATTATTATAAGTGTGAACGTGAAAGTAATTTTAATTAACTTAGTACCAATTATGAGTGTCTAATTATTTTTTTTGGAAAACGAAAAAATTTTAAATTCAGAACGCATTTTTATAATTTGCACTTTTATTAAAAATACTCAAGATTTAAAGACAAGAGTTTGTTTAGTATTAATTTTTAACTTAAAATTTTGTTTTTAACAGGTGAACTTCAACTAAGTGGATCCCATTTATTAGTTGTTATCAATTATATAAATTATATCAATGCGACATTTAAAATTATAAATACAGAAGTTGGAAGAAGTAACATGAATATAAGCCAAGTTCTAAAATTAGTGCATGATAAAAAAATTGATATTTCTGGTCATGGAACCGCTGTCAATCGAAGAGAATATTATGGAAATTTCAATCGTGTAACTAGTTCTTATCCATATGATTCATCATCATTGTGTATAATGGTTCCATTTAGTAAAGAAATCGAACAATATTTATACACATATTTACCTTTTGATCCATTTGTTTGGCTTACACTTGTTAATCTTATTTTTTATATGACATTAATTAAAATAATTATTTTACATTTATCACCAACAGATGATTATTCAAAATTTATTGGATCTGCATTTAGTACAAGTGTTTCTGAAGTTTTCTTTTTACCAACATCACGTCCAAAAAAATATCAACTTAATTTCATTCAAATGATAATAATCATTCTTCCTTATAGTTTGGGTTTTATTTTATCAAATGTTTATATGACAAAATTATCAAGCTATTTAACCGTATCATTATTTGAACCTCAAACAAATACTATCGAAGATTTATTAAAATCTAAAATCAAAGTACTAATTAGCGAAACAATGTCAAAAATTGTTTTACAAAATCTAGAACATAAAATTTTAAATAATAGTTTTGAATTGACTGATACCAATACGAAAAAACGACATCAAAGTATATTAAACACATCATATGGATACGTTATTGACGATGACAAAATTGAATTTTATTTAAGTCAACAAAGATATTCGAAACGACCAATATTTCGCAAAAGTCAAATTTGTCTTCAAAAAGGTTTAATTGGTTTCTTTATGCCAACTGATTCTATATATGAGGAGTCATTCAATCATTATATTATGAAAATTAGCGAAACAGGATTACAACATATATGGAAAGAACAATCCTTCATTGACGCATTCAAATATGGTGAAGGAAAATTTTTATATAAAGATAGTTCGTTATTGCGTCATGATTTATTAAGATTACAAAACGTTTTAGGTGCATTTATACTTTGGGGTTCGGGATGTTTTCTCTCATTATTAATATTTCTAATCGAACGTTCTATACCTTATTTCAAGAACCATTTTGCAATACTCAACATTTCTCAAAAGTAAATAATATTGCTATTAAATATGATTAAAAATAATAATTAAATTAAAAGATATTAAAGACAAAATAAATCTGAGAAAACATTAAATGAAACATAATTAATTATTTTAAATACTAAAAAGGAATATGAAAATTAAACTGTAAGTTTATAATATAAGGATTAGAAAATCTAATTATCATAAAACTTAAAATTATATTTTAAATATTAATAAAATATTTCAAAAATATCATTACTATACAAAATATTGGTAGAAATAAGTAAAAAATTCATTGAAATGCTAAAATGAGTAAATTATATTAGAATAATTACAGTTTATAGTACACTTAAACGCACTTGTTGTAATAAATTTAAATAAATATTTGCAAGAGTATCAGTTTTGTAAAATTTTTGTGAGAACATAAAAAATCTTTAAATTTAAATTCCAATTAATTGAAAATGTTTTTACTTATCGCTTAATTAATTTATCCAATTAATTAAGCACAGAGTAACAACATTTCAAATATTTAAAGAAAAATTTGATATTCGTGCCCATAACTTTTGTTGCAACAACTTCATTTTATTTTACAAAATAATTGGAATAGTATTTCTATAAAAACTTTTATTGAAATTACACAATGTCATTACCATTGTAGGTGTTTCAATTCTCCTTTGCCTCCTTTAAGCTTAAACTTAAACATTTGATTTAATTTTTTAAGCACTTTTTAGCATATATTTAGGTGTTCTTATTACACTATTATGCAGATAAAAATAACATCCATAATTACTATTATGCGAATTTTTTACATGAATTGAATACAAAAAACAATCGAATATCGCCATTTTTATTAATGCGAATATCGTCATTTTTAACATAAACGAAAAAATGAAAATATTCCTATCAGATTTTCAGAGATATAATTTGGTTAGAATCTAAATATCTCAAAAAATTATCATCAAACTGCAAACTTAATACTAAGTTAATTGAATTATTAAGAAAATAAAAGTATAGAGTAAATCTTTGTTTACTACATACTTTAATGAAACATATTGAAACTTTGTACAGAATTCTTAAAACGACACTTAAAAAAAAAAGTTTCTTCAATTTTTTGTTCCTCGATTCCACTTAAAAACTATATTTAATACGCCCACCTGCATTACATAAGTATATTGTGTATTCTAATTGTAAAAATCATATTATTGTTTGTTTCCAGTTCAAAACAAATTTTTTTTTTTCCACATTTTTTTATTTCCATTTGTATATGTGTTTTTTTTATAGTTACTTTTTAAAAAAATATCCTGTTATACTTTATTTTAATTATGAAATGTAGGTATTTTAATAATTTACCTATTTACAAATTGCATTAAATAGAAACTCATTAATATTATTTACATACTATTTTCTGCATTTACTAATGGTTTCCTGCAAACCCAAAAAATACTTTCATATGCCTGTTTTAACATCGATTTCGGATTTTGTGCATAACTTGTACGCACCCCAGTTTCATATTTTACTATTTCAAATCCTATATTCCTCATAATAGGCAAAAGGTCTTCAAAGGTGGGCTCTATACTGTTCTCATCATTTATGTCAGCAAAATGATATAATAATGGTCCTAAATTTATCCAAATCCCATTAGGTTTCAGTATTCTGAAAGTAAAAAATATTCGATAATTTCATGGACATACTTGATATATAAAAATGTTCACCGATATATTGTTTCAATAAATTCTATTACATTATTAGCGCAATCTATAAAAAAGCATGTTACAACACAATCCCAGTCGTTGTCATCAGGATAAACTTGCGTAAAATTCCCAGCAGAAACATATAATTGTCCTTTTATGCCGCAACTTTTTGGACTTATGTCAGGAAAGGTTACTGGTGCTACTTGATCTTCTCGGTTTAAATTATTCACATATTGGTGAACCCACGGATAAATTGTGTATTGATCTTTAGACTCACATCTAAAATTATAATGCATATACTAAAGGAAAGTAAAAAGAAATATAACTAACTTGTTTAACACAAAATTTGATGCAATAAGCATGAAAAGTGAAACTTCATTTCCCTCACAATAAAAACCAAGACATGCGAGGTCGTAACTTAATCTGGCTAATCCACTTCCAGGAACAAGTACTTTAATTTGACTGAGATCACTGAAATTAGTAATAGGTAGGTATAAATTAGAAAGAGCATATATAAACCAATTTAATTCTTACTGATCTTTTTCATTGTAATATTTTTGTATCTCCTCTATTATAGGACCATAACACTGCTTTCGCTCCAATTCGCCCACTGTACTCCAATCTCTAGCAACGTGTTTCAGCATAGTTTGCACCTTTAATAATTTGAAGGGTTCAACTGGCTGTGCATAATAAAAAATGTAATTTCTATTGATACATAAAAAAGCGCATGCTTTCATTACTCACTAATTACTAAATTGTTATAGGAAAATTTAAAAAATTAATGTCGAAAGTCGAATGATTAAAACTATACCACATTGCTAATGTATTTATTTTTTATAATTATATTTTGATTTAGATATTTCAATTAGTTGAAATATGTATTTGAAAAATAGATAATGAAATCATATCGGATAAACCAAAATATTATCTTTACCAAATGTAAATGTAAGTATTTAACTTTTAAATATAGTAATCTTGAAATTTTGTAAAGTGAACTGAATTTGTAAAAAAAAGGTAGAAAAGAATTCAGTTTTTTATAGAAGTATGAATGTACGTATCATGATTAAAATATTGAACAAGCAGTTTGATGGTCACTTACCTTCTCCAAATCTTGCACTTTCAATTTTCTTACATGATGCCCGTTTGTTTCATTTGAGATATCAGATGAAGTTTTATTTTCATTTGGAAATAAATGATCTACATTTTTAATCATTTCCTGCAGAACTCTGTCATTGGTGCTAATACAATCTCGTACTTTGGTCAAGTGATTACGATATCTCAATAACATCGTTTGATGTTCCTTTTTTAATGTATTTAAATATGATTCTGTTTTATGAACCCGGGCACTTGAAAATAACCTAAGAAAAAATAATGCAAACTTTGTAAACACATAATTTATATTTCTATTAAAATTAAAAATTAACAAAAAAGACGTTAAGTTAAAACTAGGAATTTTTCCCTCAAAACATTGCATTTTGTAATTTAATTTATACATAGGTACCTATGTTTATAACAAGCAAATTTTTGTATAAACTTTCAAAATATATTATCTTCATACATTTATACATCCATTAATACTGCTTAGATACATATGTATGTACCTACCAATTGCTTAAGCTTAAAATTTTTATTGGGTACATAACAGTAAATTAATAAAGCTATTAAATTTCTTACTTGTACTGTTTAAAAGCAGTTACAATGGCAATAAAGTTTTGTCTTTCCTCCTCCTCTTCCTCTTCCGTGGTCATTGGCCATCTACTACGATCTGCTAAAGACATCTTTTTTATTAAATTCTTCTGTTTATTTTCTTAGTCTGAACATAAAATTTATCAGCATGTGCTCATATTATTAAATCCACTTCAGATGCAGCCTCGTGGATGGAGTGAATTGCAATTTGCACTATGCAATAATTGCAATAAAACAAATTATTTTAAAATCTCAAGTTGATTTGATTTGATTTGAAATGCTGCTCGGCGTATCGCACGAAAGCATGCTCCAACTTGAAAATTTAGTATTTTACTTTTGTTCTTGTATGAATGAAAATAAATTAAAAAATTGAGAGCTCAAAATTTTGAGAGTTGCCAGTATAATTTTTTTACCGAATATGAATTTTGCTATTTAACCGGTTTCGATATTGCAATGTTTCAAATGCTTAAGCATAAAAATATATATATACTTACATATGCATATACTTATTTTTATGTCTTTAGCATTTTTTTCTTGAATTACTAAAGAATATCATATAATAAAAAGTTCCTTATATAAAAATTCTTGCTTACTTTGATATATCTAATTGTTTTTAAGTTAGATTGGAATATTGAAATAATTTCCAAATTTTTATTTATGTTTAATAACTGCGGTAACTTCCTAAATCAGCTGTTGCATGCAATACTAGGCGGTGATGAATACATTAAAGTAAAGTTATTAAAGGTAGGTTTGCATTCAGCTTAATTTTTTTGGCACAATAAAATTTCTGTCATTTGTAAAGTCAATTTAATAATATTCAGATTTTAAATCTATAACTGGTACAAAGAATTGAAATTCTTGTGTTTCTTGCTAAGCTTCGATTCGATCGAGGTACCAAACTTCGATCGATCAATTATGTACATAGATGGAAAATAAACATATTTTTATAGGGAGTTGTCTTTATTTTAATTTGCTCTAGCTGATAGCAAAATAAAAATAAAACTAGGTCCCTTCATAAGACAATAATTGAAAAATAACTTAGAAAAATTTTAATAAATAATCAGCCTCGAAAGCTATTTTAAAATAATTCAATTAAAATATAAAAGTATCACACAGTTATTTTTTGACAACGTCAAAGTATATGTTGAAATTAAATTGTGACTGCATGTTTTTTATGTTTTTTCGTATATTTGGTTGCATGTTCCTGATGTCCAACCAAAATTTACAAATATTCATATAGTCTACCACGTTCTACTTTCATCTAAATCCGATACCGATCTAACCCAGCATTTACACGTACAAGTTACTTGCAAGAAAGTTGCAATACATACAAAAATTTTACTAACACATTTAAATATTTCTACTTGCTTGTTTACTTGCAGTTCAACTTGCAAGAAAATTTTGCTGCCAGTAATTTGAGCAAGTAATTTGACATATTGAGAAATTCACAAAAAAAAATTTGTTGTTTTGATTTTTTTTTTTTTTTAATTTAAAATTTTTGAATTTTGTTTTGAAAAAATTAAACTTAGCAAACTTATGGTTTCTAAAATTTATAAACAATTATATATATTGCTAGTTGTTTTCTTCTCAAAAACATTTTCAAAAATTAACTTGCTAAACGCCTACGTCATAATAGCAAGTAATTTGACATTTCGAAAAACTAATTGACAATTAATATTATACAAACTTGCTTGCAAGTAACTTGTATGTGTAAATGCTGGGTAACAAACATATATTGTATAGTTGACATAGCAAAAATATTGCTGTCAGTCGTGATTCCATGACACCAAATTTCTAAACGCAAACTAAATGTCATTTTCTTGTCTGTCAAAAATTTTGTTTTGTTTACAATTAATATCTGAATTATTTGCTTTTATTATAGAAATGGTTTTATTTTAATTTCAAAAATTATTTTATTTAAAACTCTAATATTAGGTCATATTAAACATAAGTTTACCAAAATGGATTTAAATTCGGAATTAATTGATGGAGTTTGTTTATTATTAGAAAAAGCATTGGAGAATAACTCCAAAGATAAAGAAGCAGGTTCTTCGGTAACTATATCTCCCACTTTAGCAGAAAATACAAATCCAACATACAAAATTATACCGAAATTTTATCACAAAGTTCCAAAAAGTGGCGATAGTCTTGCACAAAAACTTCGGGAAGAAGCACGGTCATTGTTTTTACAAAAAAGAACTAAAGAACTTCTAGATAACGACGAATTAAAAGCTTTATGGGTAATTCTAGAGAAGCATCATACCGTGTTATCGCCCACAGGTGAACAATTAATTGGATATGATGACTACTTAAAAGTAATAGAGAATTCAGATAGGAAGTGTCAAAAGTTCCTTACAGCATCTCTATTTGCTCGCCTACAGACTTCATCAGGTTATCCTGCTAGGGTAAATATAACGTCCATATTTAATTATATTATGAAAAAAGTTTGGATGCAACAAACTCGTATTGGACTGTCTTTATACGATTACACAGGCCTTGGCTTTTTGCGAGAAACAGATTTGGAAAGTTACATACAGGAATTAATACCTACTTTACCCCAACTAGAAGGTTTGGAAAATTCTTTCCACAGTTTTTATGTATGCACAGCTGTTAGAAAATTTTTCTTTTTTTTGGATCCTCTACGAACCGGAAAAATTCGCATACGAGACATCTTAGCGAGCGGTAATTAAAACTTTATTTTGCATCCTTATCAAACTGTATTTTGCATCACTTATCAATTAAAAATTATTCCTGTTTTCCAGGGTTCCTCGATGATTTGCTTGAATTGCGCGATGAGGAAAATCCTAAGGACAATCATTATCAAGATAAAAATTGGTTTTCCGCTACGTCAGCACTCACAGTTTATGGTCACTATTTAAATTTGGATAAGGATCATAACGGTATGTTAAGCAAAGAAGAATTAAAACATTTTGGTTCGGGGACATTAACTACAGTATTTTTGGATCGTGTTTTCGCTGAATGTCTAACTTACGATAATGAAATGGATTATAAAACTTATTTAGATTTCGTTCTTGCTTTAGAAAATCGGCATGAACCTCAAAGTTTACATTATTTATTTAGAATTTTAGATGTTGAACATCAAGGATATTTAACGGCGTTTACCTTACAGTATTTTTTTAAAGGAATTCAGGAACAGATCATTGCACATAAGTCTGAGCAAGTGAATTTTGAAGACGTTAAAGATGAAATATTCGATATGGTAAAATCAGTTGATCCCACTAAAATTACATTGAAAGATTTAATAAATTGGTAAAATTATTTGAACTATGTGAGAAACAACCGCAATAATTAAATATATTTTAGCGGACAAGCAGAAACTATAGTGTCCATACTAATTGAATTTCATAAATTTTGGGCTTATGAAAATCGTGAGGCAATTGTAATTGAAACCAATCCCGACGAAACGCCACAAAATGTTTGATAAGAACTTAGTTTTAATTTTTAACTTTTTACATTCCACGCAAATTTTATACTGTTTTTACAAATTTTTACAAACTCAATAAAATTTTTTGAAACAAAATATATATACGTTATGTTAAATTTTGCAATAAAAATAGCCTTCATCCTTTATACATATGTATATAGACGTAGTACTAGATTCAATAATTTCAGCGATTTAAAAAATTTCAAATTTTAAATTAAGGGAATTTTTTACGATATCAAAACATAATTAACCCATTATTTTCAATGTCACTACAGAGTCTAGCTGTGTTTAACGACACTAATAAGCTTTGTCGATAAGGGTTGAAATGTATGTCAACCATTGATGCAAAAGTTGTCATGTAACCAGTACTGCAATTTCAAGTCAAGTACTCGATACGTCATATAAACGAACAACTACTTCGTCGCTTTTAAGCTGAGCAATTTCAAGTTGAACTAATTATTTTTTTGATAATTAATTGTATAAAAATTAAATTGGTATTATAAATAAAAAATAATTTTTGCGCGGTCAAATTTAGATCAGTTAAACTTTAATCTAATTAAAGTTTAATTAAATTAATAACTGAACTTTAAGTTTTTTTAAAACTATCGCCGAAGTTTATTATTTTTTTTAAATGAGTTGTAACACAAGTTATTTTATTTAATTTGTATGAAAGCATGACAGATTTTTTATAGAATTTGTCTTGTAATTTTTTTACCTACCAGCTTCTAAAGAACAGGAAATGAATAATCAACTGATGGTCAGAAATTAAAATTAAACTTAAGGAAATATGGTGCCGAATTTGAACTGCTATACCAATTTATTAATCATACATCAAAACAGCTTCGGAATTTGTTCCATAGAATTAAAATATTTAATTAATAATCGTAGTGATTGTAATGTAATAATAATAGTGATTGATATTGAGTTCACAAATAAAGAAATTCAAATTGTTTCACCCCTATCGGTTGACAGTTTTGTATATTTTAACAGAAGAGGCGCCAAAAGTATTACTTTTTGTTTTGATTTCCTATTTCCTTTCTTTCTATTACGAGTTGTCAAAAAAGGAAAATGGTAAAGTTTTCTTTATAAAAAAAAATTTTATAATCTTTTGAACATCTCAAAAAATTGTTCTTTAATATTAATTTCAATAAGTCTTTCAAAGTACTAATTGAATATCGGTTTTTATATTAACAGGCTGCACATAAATCATTTAGAATAAAGCAGAAGTTAGCTAAAAAACTTAAACAAAACAGATCTGTTCCACAATGGATTCGTTTAAGAACAGGCAACACAATTAGGTATGTGAAATAAATAAAAATATGAAATTAATTTAAAATGAAACAATAAAACATTTTCAATCTATAAATTTTAGATACAACGCTAAAAGGCGTCACTGGAGAAGAACTAAATTGAAGTTGTAAGCTTGTATTTTAATAACATAACATTTGTGTACATTGTATGCGCCGGAATGAGCAGTTTAAATTCGGAATACATAAATTTTAAAACAGCTCGATCAATAAACAAAATTAATTAAAAATTTCCTGATTTTTTAAATTTGTCAACCAAAACCACTTAATTAATAATATTCTCTATAAAACTAAAGTGGTTTGGATTTTTTTTCAATATATTTGAAATCAATCCACTGGAAGATATAAAAATAAAAAGAAGTTATTTTTTGAAAAACCTTTATTTGATCTAAGTGAAAATGTTTAATTTCTTGTTTTGACGATTTCTGGTGGAACATATCCTTCATCAACGACTCTTGGTTTCTTTTTCTTACCAAACCATCTCTTGGGATAATAAACTTTTTTACTATCAATTTGTAAGTCGATTTTATCTTCATTTTCAAAGAACCACAACTTTTGTTCTTCGGTTTCCATTTCTTTTGTTAAATCTTCAATTTCTTGAAGACGCTTAACACGGTTTAGTCTTTCTATTTCTTCATTTAGCTTTATTTCACGATGTTTATTCCACATTTCATATATTTCCTTTTGTTTCTCCAGTTCAATTTTTTCAAATTTAGCCACTGCTTGTTTAACAAGCACCTCTATATCATCTGAAAGACTTTGTTGTTGGAGTTTGTTGTTCGAAATTAAATTTTTTAATGAAGTATGCACGTTCGCAAATGCTTCATTATCTTGTAATTCCTTTTCTTCGCTAACTAATTTCTCTAAATGCTTTAAAGCTTTTTCAATTACATCTTTATGAAATAAAGCTTCGTCTGAATTTAATAACTCCATACATGCATCGAATTTTCGGCAGTAAACGTTTCCCAACAATCTTATACTATATGTTAAATTTTTGTCCAAATATTTAGAAATTGCGTTCAAGGATTTACCAGTTATTATAAAATGATCTCGTAAATCAAAGTGATTATCAAAAAACTCATTTCGCAAATATTTTACCCGCACTTTTTTCACCTAAATCAAATTATTTTAAAATTAGATTAATACAAAATTTGATAACATCAGATTTTTACCTCTTCTTTATCTTGGCTTTCTTGGTTGTTAGTTTTGTTTTCTGTATAAAAAGGCTCAGGGTTGTCTAAATATTTATAGAAAGAGTATAAAGCTAATGCTCTCGATAATTCATTGTTAAAGTCTTCCTGCAACATTAACTGCGCGGAAACTTTTGCCGCTGCTGTGAAATCCCCCGTTTTAATCAAATGATCTAATAAATAGCTTGCTGAATAGTCATCCAAGAAAACACCATATTCCAGTCGATTATCGAGGATATCAATAAGATCGGTTATTTTTCCCGCATCAGTAAAACTTCGAATAACTGCATGGCTCGTTGAGTCCAAAGCATTTGTTGCTTCTTCAGTTAACCTAAATTTTTTCAATAAAACTCGAATTTCTTCTAAGTGATGATCGTCATCTTCCGGTGTAATTTTATTTGCAAACAGGTCGACATCTATAGCGGAGGCCTTTTTTTGTGAATTAAAACTTTGTTCAATATCATAATAAAAAGATTCCAATTTAAATTTCTGCATGAAAGGAGCATTTAATCTTGAACTCCATTCATTCGTACATTTAAATTCATTTGATAAATAAGTCCTACAAAATAGTTTTTTCCAAAGACAACTATTTGGAACTAATTTCGCACGACATAACATTTTAATCTGTTTATTTAGCAAAATATTTTTAAAAATTAAGTTAAGAAAAACCACAAGTTATGAACAAATAAGAAAAATCAAAATAAATAAACTATTGGCATTTGCTAAAAATTCAAAGTGACAGTTTGACAATTGATACATTTCTTTGCGAAGTACTTAGTACTTACACATTATTCATCTACTTCAAAGCAAAGGTGCTAAATAAAAAAAAAGGAAAGTAAATACAATCTTGATAAAGATTCAAAATTTTAGAACCAATGAAAGTAAAGTCTTAAAAATAGAATAAGGATTTTATTAAGACGAAAATACGAGCAAATAAAAAAAGGAGCCACTGAACTCATTTTATAATTAAAGTTTGACTCATTGGCAGTTTGGCTATACTGGATGTTTAAGATGGCACCGATTCAAAGTTGTTGAAAGTATGTACATACATACCTTGTATTTGTAACATCATAATTTGTATGTACTCTTATAATTAATAATTACAATAGTAATGGAGCGCTGTTTTGTATAAAAATTCTCTCATATGGGATCTGATGATCAATTTAAATAATGCATACATATTTGAGGTTTATTTTGTACATAAAAATGTTAAATCACCTTCAGCGAATCAGAGAACAACTGTAATATGTAACTAAAGACTTGCCTCAATTACTTATGTGGATATATTCGTATAGTTGGCAATCCTCTGTTATTAGTGCTCGGAACCAAACTTGTGTTTTTTTTTCTTTCTTATAAAGTTGCAAGACACTTTTTTTTAATTCTTGAATAGCTTTGAATTTTTAATTTTTTTTATTTGATACATATCGTAAAAAAGTCCATATCGTAAAAATTTAAAAATGCTTCTGTTTTCAAGTATATAAGAATATGCAGTTGAATAATGAATATGCAAAAACACATTTTAAAAATTCTTTTTTATTTTAATTTTCGACATGTATGCTCACGCTTATGTGCTATATGTAAAACTTGAGTTATCAATATTTCTCACTTTATGTCACTAGTAGTTAAAGTCTTAATCGTTGGCAACTAGCTTCTCAATGTTTTGACATACACTTTTCAAAGTGAAAATATTAAAAACTAAATCCAAACAAAAACATCATTTTTAGGCGTTGTGTTAACTGTTAATCGAAACTTTTTATTTTGCAAGTTAAGGTCAGAAAAATATTTTTTTTCAAGGTAAAAACATCAAAATCAATTTCAACGAAGATTTTTCTATAAAATGCATATAATTTTCTGAATCTAAAAAAAAAACAAAGTGCAATTTTCATGTAAATTAGCATTAAATTTTGTTGATTTATATTGATTAAAAAGAAAGGTTAAATTTGATCAATTGTTAATGTTTGTTATTTTAATATGAAAAATTTATTGTTATGAAAAATATTTTATTGTATTTACAGGTTAAATATAAAATAAAATAAAAAATGTCGGCGGGGTATTCACCCGCTGTTGCTTCTACATCAGCCGGTGGAACCGGTGCAGCAGGAGTAGTAGCATCAACTGGACCGCAACTAGATGTTGCTCAGGTAAATACATTTCGGACTTACGTAACTATGTTGGGCGATGCAAGCGCAAAAGATGATATAAAATTGAAGGCAGCACAGGAGTTAAGTGAACACTTTGAAGTTATTGTGCAAACACCAGCTTATCCATCATTTTTAGAACACTCAATGAAAATATTTTTAAAGATATTGCAAGATGGCGAACCACAATTTATATCTGAGAACTCTACGCAACATGTAATTATAAGTTATTTGTGAATTCTGTTATGAATCTAATTGCTCTTATATTTTTAGGTCAGAAAGTTAATTTTGGAAATGATTCACAGGTTACCCATAACTGAGAACTTACGACCATACGTTAAGCCTATTATTTCACTTATGTCTAAGCTATTACGGGTTGATAATGAAGAAAATGTTTTAGTTTGCTTAAGAATAATAATTGAATTACATAAACAGTTTCGTCCTCAATTTAATCCGGAGGTTATTTAATAATAAATTTCTTATGCAATTGTATCATTATATACTTTCACTTTTTTTTTTATATAGATACAACATTTTCTCGCTTTTGTTAAAGATATTTATGCAGACTTACCTAAACATATGCCTCAAATTTTCGAACCATTACAACAAATTAGAGTTAAAGATTTAAAGGAAATAGATATTGAACAATTGCTATCAGAAACCTTTACAACAAGAACTATTCACGTTGAGAAAACGACAGAAACGGGAACTGTAACACAACCGGTATTAACCATATTAAAACTAAAGGATAAAATTCACGAATAAAAATTCATTTATTTCTAGTTTAATCTTTTACCTAAAGGTGTTTTGTCGCTCCGAGTTTTACAAGAGCTTCCTATTATAGTTGTGTTACTTTATCAACTATATAAGGGATCAGTACATCAAGAAGTAGCAGATTTTGTACCTCTAATAATGAATACTATTACATTGCAACCATCGCCAATACAGAGGTACATTTTTATTAAATGTATAAATAAATTTGTGCTTTAATCTATTTTCATTTACTTTAGAATGTCACCTCATTTTAATAGAGAAATTTTTGTGGATTTCATGGGGGCTCAAATAAAAACCTTATCTTTCTTGGCCTATATTGTTAGAACATTTCAGGTAGTTTGTTTGAATAAAAACTCAAATAATATTTCGTTAATTTCTTTTTATATTCAAAAAATATTTCGTAAATTTGTTTTTATAATAAGGACGCAGTGGTCAATCATGCACCTTCTGTAGTAAAAGGAATGCTCAGTTTGATGCAGTTATGTCCTAAAGAAGCCGCCAACTTAAGAAAAGAATTATTGATAGCCGCAAGGCATATATTTTCAACTGAGCTGAGATTAAGTATAATTTAAATTAAAAATATTATGTATGTATATAATTAATTGTTATATTTCAGAATTTATACCATCTATAGATAGACTTTTCGATGAAGATTTATTAATTGGTAAAGGGGTAACAGTCGATTCAATTAGACCCTTGGCATACTCAACTTTGGCTGATTTAGCTCATCATGTTCGACAAAACCTGTCTTTAGACGTAGTGGAAAAAGCGTCGAATTTGTTTTCTAAAAACGTACATGATGAATCATTGGCTACAAGTATTCAAGTACTTAAATTCAAATTTAAAATTATGCTTTTGTATTCAGTATGCTTTTTATAGACAATGTCATGTAAATTATTACTAAATTTGGTAGATTGCATTCGTATCCATAGCGAAAATGAACCAGTTAAAGCGAGAGAACTTCTATTAACACTTTTAAAAGTGTTCACATTGAAATTTCAAAGTATTGCGAAAGTACAACTTCCATTAATAATGCAAAAATGGTAAAAAAATTTAGTTTAACTATTCATTATGTTCCATTTTATATTAACGAAGTTCATATTATAAAAAAAACATTAAAATTTTAGGAAAACTATGAAAGAACAAACAACCGGTGCAAATAATGCTAATGCAGCTCAATCACCTACTATAGTTTCAGAAACAAAAAGTGATGGCGTTAATTTAGAGCTGCCAGCTTCAGAACAGTCTTCAAAACTTTGCAGCATTGGGTTTCCACCACCACCCAGCCTGAATGTCGCGGAATATCGTAGTTTAGTCAAAACGTTGGTTGGCGGTGTGAAAACAATAACATGGGGTTTTATTAGTTCTAAGCCAGTAATATTTGAAAATGCAGTTCCATCTCAAGCAAAATTTTTTCAACCACATGAACTTAGAATTTATATTGATTTAGTTTATTGGGCATTGGAAGCTTTAGATATCTACACAATCAATATTCCGAATCCCGCAATGAATCCTAATATAAAAATGCCTAATCAAAATCCAAGAACAAAAGAAGAAAAAGAAGTTTTGGAACATTTTAGTGGGATTGTAAGTTCTTGTTTAAATTTGTTATAATCGATTTAAAATTGATTTTCATATAACTTTTAAATTTAGTTTCTGATGATGAGCAGTCAAAATTTTCAAGAAGTTTTTGCTACAACTATTGATTATATGGTTGAAAGAATTTATAAAAATCCTGCCCTGCAAGTTGTAGCCAATTCATTTTTAGCTAATCCAACAACTTCACCACTTTTTGCGACAGTTCTTGTAAAATATTTACTAGAGCGAATGGAGGAAATGGGATCAAATCTCGAAAGATCTAATTTATATCTAAGACTTTTTAAGTTAGTTTTTGGAAGTGTGAGTTTGTTTGCCGCTGAAAATGAGCACATGTTGCGACCCCACTTACATAATATTGTGAATCGTTCAATGGATTTAGCGATGACTGCCAAAGAACCGTACAATTATTTTTTATTATTGCGTGCTCTATTTAGATCTATTGGTGGTGGAAGTCACGATTTGTTATATCAGGAGTTTTTGCCATTATTACCCAATTTGCTGGAAGGATTAAATCGTTTACAAAGTGGTTTTCATAAACAACACATGAAAGATTTGTTTGTAGAATTATGTTTAACTGTTCCCGTTCGATTGTCGTCTCTGTTACCGTATTTACCAATGTTAATGGATCCTTTGGTATCAGCTCTCAATGGATCTCAAACTCTGATTAGTCAAGTAAGCATTGTTTTTAATTTTATTTAAACTTATGTAATCAAAAAAAAACTTTTTTTAAAGGGCTTAAGGACATTAGAACTTTGCGTGGATAACTTACAACCCGACTTTTTGTACGATCATATACAACCTGTAAGAGCAGATTTAATGCAAGCCCTTTGGAGAACTTTACGTAACCAAGACAGTGCAGCGTTGGTTGCTTTTAGAGTTCTTGGTAAATTTGGTGGGGGTAACCGTAAAATGATGATCGAACCACAAAAACTGGAGTACAATGATAAAGATTCAGTTCCACCAGCTGTTGTCGCATTTTTCCAAGAACATAGAAAACCTATAGATTTTCCGGTTGATAGAGTTATAGAAACTGCATTTCAGGCTTTAAATTCCAGCACTACGGACATATTTTATAGACGTCAAAGCTGGGAAGTTATAAGATGTTTCATTGCAGCCTCAATTAGTTTAGAAGATGACAAACATACATTGCAGAAATTATTTATGCATCCAAGCTTTGTTGAAGGTAACATAGTTGGTTTAGCCGCAGCTCAATACAAATCACAGGAAATGCAAGCGCGTCAGACACATCAGTCTGCCCTAACTGGAATGCTCGTAGCTGCTGCAACTAAAGAATTGCGGGAGTCAGTTTTTCCGGTAATGGTTGCTGTTGTTCGACACTATACAATGGTGGCGATAGCTCAACAAGCTGGACCTTTTCCTTTCAAAATATATAATACAACCAATGGACTCGATCCACTTGTCTTGATAGATGCTTTAGCTGTTTGTATGGGACATGAAGAAAAAGAGTTATGTAAGCCTGGTCAACTTTGCATAGGATTAATTTTAGAAACGGCAACTAATATCATGGGAAATAAGGAGCGTGCTTGTCGTTTGCCACTTATGCAATATTTAGCAGAAAGGATGTCAGCTTTATGCTACGAAAGACCTTGGTATGCAAAAATGGGAGGTTGCAAGGCGTTAAAATGCTTGTATCAACATATGTCATTACGTTGGCTCTACCAACATTTATTCTTGTTTCTAAAAGCCTTTATGTTCGTAATAATGGATTTAGCTGGAGAAGTGTCCAGTGGAGCTATCGATATGGCAAAAAGCTATTTAGAAAAAATGCTCCGGATATGTATGGTCCCATTAGATAAAGAATGTAAAAACGAAGACCTGATACAAAGTCAAAATAAAGCAATGTATGAAGTTATACATGAACTTGTACGCCAAGTAACAAGCCCTAATACGTTAGTTAGAGAACAAGCAATGTCTTCATTGCGATTGATAGCTGAATTGCAAAATAAGACTGTAACTGATGTAATGGATCCACATCGTGAAGTTTTAGTGGACATAATACCACCAAAGAAACATTTGCTGAGACATCAACCTGCGAGTGCTCAAATCGGTTTAATGGATGGTAATACATTTTGTACAACATTAGAACCAAGACTGTTTACTATAGGTAATAAGTTTTTTTTTTTTAATTTTTCATCGTCTTACATCTATTTTTGAATTACAGATCTAAATAATAGTTATCATAAATTATTCTTCCATGAATTAATAACTTTAAGTGATGCTGAAGATTCTACGTTAGCTAAATTAGATTGTTATAAAAATGTTAGCAATCTAGTACCACTACGTAAAAGTGCATTGCGAGCTTTGGCAGCATGCCATTATATAACGGATGGTGCATATAGAGAAAAAATTTTAACTATATTATTTAAAGTAATGGAAAAGAACAATCCCGAATTACAAGAAGCGGCGTTTGAATGCATGCAAAAATTTATTTCTGGTTTTAAGATTGATAAGGAAATCGTAAGTAATTTTTATTATATTTTATTGAATTTTTAAAATTCTAAAGATTGTATTTATTTTTCAAAGTTCATAAATGAAACTTAGGTTGATTTACCTTCGATTTGTCTTTGATTTGTGTTTTTTTACATAATAAAAATTCTTCAAACTTTGTAGACGTGCTTGATACTGAAGCAGATTTTTCTATGTTTACTTCTTTAATTTGATATTGAACCTTTATAAAGTATTTGTAATTGTTCCAAACATGATTTTTATTTTTTAGCAGTAACTTCTCCAGTTACTATTAACCTTTAATTTGAAGGTGTATTTGTTTTCACAGTACTTCACTCAAAATATAGGTTTCTTTTCACGCAATATTTTTCGATAATTTGAATATATAAACCTTACTTAATTAAAATCTATATAAATATTATATGGTAAGAATACATATTTAGCAAATAATACAATACTGGAATTTAAATTAGTATGTTTTTTTTTTATTTTTTATATTTTAAGGCTTGTTAAAGACCATTTTTCTTTGCTTTAATTTCTGTTTTTGATTTTCTGGTATATAAATATTTCATTAAATCAAAAACTGTGCTTATAGTATAGTGTTATAGTATAGTTCTGCATTGAGAACTGATTCATAATTTATTTTCTATACATTAATATTTTTAATTGATAATATTATAAGAAGTTAGAAAATTTAATATGTCAAGAAAACCTTTTGATTCTAAGAGATTGATATGTTAATAAGACCTTAAAACATTAAGAAGACTTTTACAAAGCTTAAACATTGATTGCTCATATTTATTAAAAGTTATATAAAAAGATAAATTGAAATAAATATAAACATTCGAAAAGTATTTTAAATGGGTTGTTACAAAAATAGGAACCGATTCGATCCATAACATATCTATATGTTTATTATAATATTTAATTAAATTTAATATTGTCAAAATAAGTAACTAAATGATAAATTAATTTATGGACAACAATAAATTATCATTCTTGTTTTAACAATGAAATAAAATATTTCACTTATAAAATTAATTTGTTTTCTACAGTACACTGTTCCAGTAGAATGATTCCCATGTAAATCCCATTTAAATATCATTGTAAACCCTAAATGAATTATATTATATCATCTAAACGACAGCAATTTCTTAATTTATTATTTGGTATAAAAAATTTTTAAACACATGTACTTTTGTAAAACATATTATATGTGTAAATGTGTTCCTACATTTATGTCTATTTATTATTAATTTTTTTTAAACACATTCACTTATCTCATAATATAATTTTAATTTTATCACGTTTATTGGATTTGACTACTCATATGAAAAAGTTCAATGAAATTTTATTGAGTCTTGAATACTTTTAATCTATGAATTAGTAACATATCTAGCTTATAAATAAAATTTTAGCGAATAATAATTAAAATGCATAAGTATATAGGATGACGATTGATTTATTAATTTAATATTTTTATAAGTGATAAAAAAAATTTCAGGATACAAATGGAAACTGGTCAATACTTTTAAATTGAGTAATAGGAAAAATTCAGTCAAGCGATTTTTCATGGGATCATTAAATTTGTTTATTATTTACCTTTTAATTAGTTAAATATTTCAATTATGTATAAATTGATAAATTTCTAAAATTTTATAAATTTTCAGTTTATAAAAAAATCAACCTCTTATAAGAAATGGGTGTTAAATATAAAAACTAAGAAACTGTCATAATATTCCGTAGGCATTAATTTTTCTTAAAATAAAAATTTTTATCCACAATTGTTTGTAAAAAATTATAAAAATTTGTATTCCACCATTTTAGGTTCTACTTGGTTTTAAAGGTTTTATTTTATTTGGCTAAAAAAATTTTTGTTTTACCAACATTTTTATTAAGATTTTCATTTGGTCATCAAAATATTACAACTCTTTCATTTTTACACAAATTTCAAAAGATTATTTTTGAAAATGTTAAAATTAAATAATCATCCATATTCTGTTGGTCGCATAACTTTACCTGATGGGTCGTTATTCAAAAATTTTCTAATTTTCTGAATAAAATCAATTCCAAAATTCGAAATTCTAAACTGAATAACAAAATTCTTTTCAATAATATCTCATTACTCAAAATTTGGGTGAATATGTTCATTTCCCTTTATATTCGTACAAAATCATTCAACTATTATAAGTCTTGTTCTCATCAATTTTTTACACATAAAAAGAAAAATAAAATGAAATGATCTACATTCCAAATATAATCTAACATTTGAATTAATATTGGCATCTATTTATATTCTATTTTTTCTATACGTTCTAAAAGCAACATAAATATTATTTGTAAATGGTTGTGACTGTATTGTTTTTAAGCCACATTACATTGGGGTTCATTAAAAAATGGAACAAAAATATTGTGGTCAATTGAAATATATTATTTGTAATTTTTGTTTTTTTTTTTTTAATACACATATTAAACAATTTTTTTTACATAAACGAGTTAAACATAAAAAATGAAATAAGTAATAAAACAAAAATGTAAGTGAAATTTACCTGATTGTACTACACAATGAACTATAATGCAATATTTGAAAAAAAAAAATAAAAAACAAAAACATATAAAACAAACAAACGATCTGTTATCAACTCAAATGAACTATGCTGAGTCCATGCTATTTTCTGATATTCTCTTTCTATTTTTCAATTGTTTTTTATTTGCACTACTTAAATACGTTCCATTGACTTCATTACTTATCGTTTATAATGTTTATTTAACTGAAGAGAATTATAATGTAACTTTTTATTAAATAATTTATTTGTAAAATATTTTGTAAAAACATCGCTTTTAAATTATTTATAATTTCAATTTTTCTGTAAAAGAAATTTCTTAAAATAAGTCATTTTCGCATAAAGTGTCTTACAAAACCCGATTCGAATTGTTCTTTACCATTAATCAATGTTTATCATTTATATTCTGTTAAAGTTACTTATGATTGTAATTAATAACTTTCGATAAATTAGTACATATTTTATCGCTATTTAATATCACCAAAAAAAGCTTTACAAGTAAAAAAAAAAAGCTCTTTTCAAAAAATCAGTAATCTTATGTTCGTCACTAATTACGGTTTAAAAAGTGTTCGCGTCAAATTAAATTTAAATAATTTGCAATAATTGGAGTATTTCGACCAAAAAAAAAACTTTTAAATCAATTATTCAAAATTTCATCAAATCGAAAATAATGCAATAAGCAATTTATTTAAATAATGCTTTAAATTAAATTTAAAAAATTTAAATAATCCTAAATCTGTATTACGACAAAAAATAAAGATTATGGTTGTAAATTACTAGTAAATTGATTAAAGAAAAGACATAATACATAGTTTTCGATGATCCAATAAAACAATTTCCTTTTTTTAAATATAAAATTAATTAATTAAGAATACAATCGTCATAGCAATTAAATTGAATCGAAGGGGTGCCGGAATGATAAGTTTTTAATTGCAATATTTTTGATTACTGATATATGTGTGTAGTTGCTATTCAAATAGATAAGGCAGGTGACGATGATTGTGATTCAAAGACAATTTCAATTAATTTAAAATAAATATCAAATATATGAACTATATGAATATTCTAAAATAATATAAAAATAACAAAAAAATTTTTAAAAAGTTAAAAGTTTAAATTAAAACATAGTTAAAATATTTAACAATTAAAAAAATATAAAAACAGAAAAAATAAATATTATCTTTAATAATATAATAAGCTTACATAAACTGGAAAATTACTTCTATAAACAGAAAAGGAAAATAGAATAATAAATATAAATTTAAATACAATATATACATATAAAAAAAAAATGAATGAACTTGAAAGTTTACGTAGAGAGTCCGAATATTTAAAACAAAAAATTGCCGAATCAAAGAATTTAATAAATGACACTAATTTACAATTTGAATCAAGAAAAATACCCTCGGTTGGACCAATACAATTACGTACCAGACGTGTATTACGTGGTCATTTATCAAAAGTATATGCATTAAATTGGAGTAAAGATTCAAAAACATTAGTATCAGCATCTCAGGATGGTAAATTAATTATTTGGAATGGACAAACAACACATAAATTAAATGCAATACCATTACATTCATCATGGGTTATGACATGTTCATATTCACAAACTGGAAATTTAGTTGCATCCGGTGGTTTAGATAATTCATGTTCTATATATAATTTAAAATCACGTGATGGTAATGCTCATTTATTGAAACAATTACCTGGTCATAGTGGTTATATATCATCATGTAAATTTTTGGATGATAAAAAAATATTAACAAGTTCAGGTGATCGAACTTGTGCTCTATGGGATATTGAAATTGGTATGCGTTTAAATCAATATATTGGACATACTGGTGATGTTATGTCATTATCAATAATGGATTTAAATCAAAATATTTTTATATCGGGCGGTTGTGATAGTTTAGCAAAATTATGGGATTTACGTACTGGTAAATGTCAGCAAACATTTTATGGACATGAAAATGATATAAATTCAGTGAAATTTTTTCCAAATGGACAAGCATTTGGTGCTGGCTCAGATGATTCAACATGTCGTCTATTTGACATTAGATCTGATCATCAATTAAATGTATTTGCATCAAAAACATCATATTGTGGTGTAACATCAGTATCATTTTCAAAAAGTGGTCGAATATTTTTCGGTGGTTATGATAATTTTAATTGTGTATTATGGGATACAATTAAAGGTGAAAAATTAGGTATATTAGCTGGGCATGATAGTCGTGTTTCATGTCTTGATACAACTGAAAATGGTACAGCAATAGCAACTGGATCATGGGATTCATATGTTAGAATATGGAATTAACAACGAAATAATAATTAAAAATATATAATAGGACTGAGAAAAATATTGATAAAATAAAGAAATTTAAATTAAATTAAAAATTAATATATTAAGTATAAAATATTAAAAAATAGTTTATATATTACGAAAAAAGAATCAACATATTGTTTCAAAGTAGTTGATTAGTACGAGTATTATAATATCAATAATTTAAAGTAAAAATGTTTTGAAAAAATAAAAATTTTATTACCTTCATTCATCATACAACTGATAATTATTGTCACAGTAACTTGAATTTATTTCAAAATCAAATATATATTTATGTTGTTTATCTAAAATATGCAAAATAATTGAAATTTACAATAAATTTTCTAAGAATGTATACAAGTATTTCATGAATCCCGTGCGGGTGTTCTATAGTACATTTTTTTTTAAAATTAAATTTTTACAAAAAAGAAGTACACGTGCATTATTTACAAATGCGTTTAAATTAAAAATTCGAATAAAATTTAAAAAATTTAAATAAAAATAATTTCAAATTATCATTAAATATAATTTTGAAGGGCACAAAATTGCAAGAACAGTATTATTTGAAATAATATGTACACGTTTTATACGTAAGTCCAAATCAACTGGACAAAGAATAAATTGTTTTATGATGTTTTCAAATAATTAATTTAAAACTTTTTAATATAATAAATAACATTTTCGGAATTTGAATCAAAAAATTATTTGATGGAGATAATTATAAATAAAATATTTATAATTTATAAAAAAAAATTAGAAAAATTTTTAGGAACATAATATGAGATGATATGAATTATCAGTATCTGATGAATATTGTACGTATATAAATTATATATAGAAATATATGGATATATACATAATTATAAATGCAACTTCATATTTAGAATGCTCAAATAATTTTATATGATCTTAAAATATTAAACTAGAATCGGGCAAAAATTAAATTTTGTTGCTTGTTCGTCAATTATTTTCTCTTTTGGAAGACTGCAAAAATATATTTATTAAACGCTTAATATTCAATATCAATAATTGATTTTACATAAATTTGCTTTAACATTTCTTAAAATAAAATATAAATTATAAAAATTTATTATAAATTTTTTTTATTCATTGCATTCTAAATATTCAAATGTTTTGATGACATAATAATGTATGCCTGTATGTGTATGTTAAAGAAAAATTTCTTTTTAAATTCCCAGCTTCAATTAAAGAAATTTTCGTTTATAGCTGCTATAGTAGTTTAATATTCAATTATTGTTAAAGGGATTTTTATAAATTATTGATACTGAAAAAAAAATTTAGAGCTTATTCCAAAATTTGTACAAAATATCGTGTTTTAATTGCATTGCATTAAACTTTTCATATGGTTTTTGATTTTTAACAGTAGCCCGAACTTTATAAAAATCCCTAATATTTTTAATTTAATTTAATTTTTGTTATTATTGTAATTTTTTTTTTCTATTTAAACAAAATCTTACTTTTTAATTTTCATTTCCTCTTAAGTCAATTAGCATGTATTATTTATGTTAAAACAGTTTAATATTTAAAATTTTATGTTGTTTAATTTAATAGAAAAAAAAAAAAACAAAACAAATTGTTTTTTTTTTTTTTTTTTTTTGTTTTTCCGCAAAATTTTAAGCATTTATTTTATAAACAAGAATCGAGAAAATGAAAATAATTTAGAAAATTTTTGTATCTTTAATACGATAAGATTAAATAAAAAAAATATATATATAGAAAAGTTTATAAAAAGCGATAGTATTTTTGTCTTTTTTTTGTTGTAATATTTTTTTTACACTTAAATTTTGAAATTACCCTTTAATTTATGATGCATAATTACGTGATTTTCATAGCGAAAAAGCACATCATATGTATTCCAAAAAAAAAATTGTTGGTAGTGCGGTCCTGTTAGCTCTGTTTTTAAGTTTAAGTAGATACGATTTTCATATTTTCAACACAATAATTTAATTTATTTTTTTTTCTAATTATTTTCTTTTTACGACTTTTGATTTTTATATTTTAAAAACTAAATTTGTTAAAATTTATTTCATTGGAATATATTTTATGATCGCGAAAATTATGAAGCATTTCAAAACAATAATTTTAAATGTTACTTGGTTAGAGTTTTCATTACGTAACAAAATTATGATGTTTTCGATTTTGTTTACACATATTGGTAAAAAATACTCGTCAAATCGTCAAAAATGTAAATTGAAATTTTTCTTAAACTATTTCTAAAATAATTTAGTATTAAAAATACGTGTATATATGCATGTATTAAGAAATTAAGAAATTAATTGTTGGTTATTAATTCTCTTGTATTTATTTTATAAACTCATAACACGCTTTAAAAAAAATCTAATGCCTAATAAGACAGTTAATGCAAACTAAAAATAAAAAATGTCTGCCTTAAAGTATTTGTATAAATATATTGAAAAAATTTGCTAAAAACCCTGAAACTTTTTAGAAGTTATGAAGAAGTTATGAACTTTCTTATACCACAATACCACTTCGCATTTACAGAAAATGAGTAATGAAAAAAAGAAGTTATGACGCAAAATTATGAAAAATCAAAAAATTTTGTAAATAATTAAGCCGAATTAGTCAATTTTCACCATGCCTCATAAAAAGTTTTTTTTTTCAAATCCAAAATTTAATTATTATTATATTTGATGACATTGAAAAATATTTTATCGACGACTTTTTGTATACACACATATACATACATATTATGTACGTTCAATATTTACCTTATTTAAAATTCTTAATTTTTAAAAACAATACATATATATACATAGTAAAATTATAGAACAATTAAATTAACACATGTTTGGATTTTTTTTTTAAATGAAAATTTAAAATACTTACGCTCTGACATGTACACAAAAACATATACTTATATATTGGCTTATATATATTTATATGTATATAAATATCTGTTTCTATAAAATGAAAAATCTTGTTAAATTAAAATTTAAGTCAGGCATTAAAAACCTAAGATATTTAAATTTAATTATTTTTGAAGTGAAAAATTACTTTTTCCTCTTATAATCATTTTATATCAGGAGTTTTAAAGAATTGCGGAAATAACATATTTGGATTTAACATGAATTCCAAACTAAAAGAATTATAGAAAGTACAGTGATCGATCAACTTTTAACAATTTTGGGATATAGTTGTATAAAGATTAAATTTAAATCAATTTTAAAAATACAAATAAATTATTATTTAGCCTTAGTAAATTAACTTTGAAATTTTATTTTATAAAAACAATGGGCTGTAATTTTTTGGTTCTGTTATCCAAAATTTTATAATATCAAATTTTAACAAATTGCAGACTAAACTATACAAGGAATTTTAGAATTTCTTGAATTTCATTATTAAAAATATTGCCTTATTCAAAAATTTAAAAAAATATTAAATAATAAAATTGAGTATTGTTTTAAAATTACGAATACAGTAATTCCACGCATATAATGTCATCGCGACATAAAAAATTTCCTCGTTTTTAGTCAATTAAACATTGCTAAAAGTTTATTTTTTTTTATGGATAGTTCAAAATTGAAGAGTTCATTTTCTTTATACAAAAATGAAGTATAAATCTGGGTTTGAATCGTTTCGCTTGAAGTTGAAAATTTTCAGTCTCAAAAACGACTTTAAGTTAGTGATTACCGTAATAATAAAAATTAGCTACGGCAATTTCTTTTATAAAGAAAAAAATTATAAATGGAAAATTACTCAGCCCTGCTCAAAATAATTTTAAAAAGTTTATTCTAAATTGTGAATTTTGTTTAAATTTGTGTTATCGTCTAACTTAAAAAATATTCAATTTCTTATCAATTATGATATGATTTTAGATTACTAATATTGCATTTAGGCGGCAAATATCTCAATTATCTTAGAGAATTTTTCTTTTTTTAAATTGTGATCGTTATATAACAAAATCTAAGCTGATTTTGTATTACTAATTGAGTTGAGTAGAATTAAAATTTAAATAAGTTTTGTAGTTTTAATTTTCATAATAATAGAATTTTTGTTCTATATGCTTTTAAATTTGTCTGCGAGACGAAATTGAAAAATTTACTTGAAAATTTAAATTTTGATATTGATATGACTATATATCTAATTTTGTAATACATATGCATGTATATACATATATTATTATATGCGCATACATACATTGTATTATCACACCTTAAAATATTTACTTTTATAGAAAAAAAAAATATTACTTCCATCGATTTTATTCTAATGATAAGATAATACAAAGGAGTATACAATATCTATACTCTAATTTAGACTCTAATTCTAATAAAATAAAAAATTTTTTTTTTATTTTTATCATTTTATTATTTATTTACTTATTGACATATTTATGTTAGAAACCAAAAAATAAATCTATTAGTTTTCGCACAATGTGTACAATATGTTTTTTTATTAAAAATATTTTGTTGTGTCGAAATTTATTTAGTTTATAAATAATAATGAAAATATTTTCAAATTTAATAAATTGTAGGCTAAATTTTTAATAAGATTAATTTGAAAAACGATTATACTATCTGTTATGGCCCCTTCAATATAATTAAAAATCGATTAATTATCGAAGGCAAACACTATTTAAATTTAACTTTTACTCTACGTTTTACGAAGATTAAAACAAAATGCAAATTCTATTTAGAGAATAAAAATTTTTATAAAAATGTTCTAGTGATCATTTTTAAAAAATTAATGCCTAATTTATAAAAAAAAATAATGCATAAATCTTAAATTTATTCAATGATATCCATTGTTTCCATTTATATATGAAAAGCAGCAAAAGAACATAATAGGCAATTTAACTGCAATTTCGACCGATGATATCATTGTCTAAATTATTACTAAGAATTATTACAAATAAGTAAGAAATATAGTTCAAAATTAGGGCTGCATTTTAAAATTCAATTGCTTTAATTTTAATTTTAAATGTAACAAGACATTAAATTAAGGCATATAGAAATGTCCTATTACTATTTCCACAAATTAATTAATAATAATATTAAAATAGATGTAATTCATTTCTTAATCAATAGTTTCGATGATTGACGTTACCATGTTAATTATATCCTCACATTTTCTTTTATATTTTTAATAATTTTTTCACCGTTTCATCTTTTAGAATAAGTTTTTTAAAAATTATAGAATTTTATAAAATTTATAGAATATTTTACAAAATATTCTGTATAATAAATAAATTTAAATTTAAACGCCGAACTGAGTTTAATATTTGCAATTATATAACCTTAAAAACAAATATTACTTTATTAAAGTAAATTTTTTAATGAATATTATAAGATTGAATATTGAAAATTTTTTCCAAATTACTAAAGACATTAAAAGAGAAGGCCTCTTCATAAACGCAATATATTACTAATGTATATATAGCGAAAACTGCGCTATATATGTATATGTTATGTTCATAAACAAATGTAACTAATCTATAGTTTGTTCATAAACATTACTAAATTTTCACAATTAAACGAAATTGGTACGAGTAGCAATTGGTACGAGCAGTTTATATGGACTGTTTTTTTTTTTCGTAAAATATAGTCAAAAATTGATTACATATTCATCACGTTATGTTCTTGCAGTATTGCGTTTATGAAAATCTTTATATGTTTATGAATATACCAATTGTAAGTCATCAATCACTTAAATTACTTTACTAACTTAATGAAATTTTTTTGAAAATTTCTCTGCACCTCTATAAGTTTTAAAATTTCATTTAAATTATTCAAATAGAAAAATATTACATATAAAAAAATTCAAAGCTAATAATTTTTTATTGTAAAATTTTCAATAAATGAAGTACGAGTACTATAAACTCTAAAAAAAAAAGAATTGGAATAAAAATTAAAAATGCATTTTATATGGAAACTTGTTAATATACAAAACAGAGAGAAAAAGATTAGAGCACTTTCGCTACAAATAAATATTTAATTTGAGAGATAAACATTTGTTTTTTTTTTTTGTATTGTTATTGTGTTTACGTTTTTTTTTTCTCAGTTTTTAACCTTCAAATGTGCTAATTAAGTTTACTTAAATTTTTATATTTTTCATACAATATCATAGAGTTTTGACGAAGATTTTGTTTTACTTCTATTCTAATAAAAATAAAATTATACTTTATATTTATTTTGTTTTTGAAACGCTTCAAATATAATAATTAGAATTTCAAAAATAATTTTAATCAACGAAAAATATTTATATTTCAAAGATTAGTTTCGGAAAATAAAAATTCGATATTAAAAATTTTCTCATTTGCCTCAAGTTCTATGTCTCCTTTTTTTCTTTCTTGCTAAATAAATAAAATCTGAGTATTTGAGAAGAGGGTTTCGGGTTAATAGAATTTTTGTTATGGTAATATTTGCTATTGCAATTTGAATACTTAATAAAAGAAAAGAAAATTTTTCACTTAGACTTATCTTCAGTGAAATTTTCCTAGATTTTCTAGACTTTCTTATCTAGAGTTTCAAACTAAGTATCACATATAGAAAAATGTTTTACAATGATTAAATTATTATTTACAATGAACAAATAAATATTTGACAAAATTGTTAATAAGAATAATTAGTGCCGAGTAAATTCAGTTTAAAAATTGAAAAGCATTTTTTGAATGAAAAAGCATGAAGAACTTTGAACGACTCGTACTAAAACTGATTTATGCGTTGAATTTAGCCTAATGTTTTTAATTAAAAATTAATTTTTTTCTTTAGTTTAGGAAGTCTTTTATCAGTTTCTATTAACTTTGTAATAACCAAATATTTGAAAACACTATTTTATACTGTTGTTTTAAAAACAATTTGGTCAGATTTTTTCGTGGAAGTGTTTCTCTTTTTCGACTTGAAATTTAAATAATGGGTTTTCTTCTTCATTTGAACTATTTTTCTCGTCTTTTAAAAGATATTGTTATTCACATTATTAATTATTGTTCTTATTAAAAAAAAAATATTTTAGAATATTGTCATAAATCTCATCACATTCCTCAAGTTAAACATATGATTATTTTCTTTCGAGATTTAAAATTTAAGTTTTTAGCATTTTATTATGAGAATTTAGTTGTAGAATTTTTTAGGTATCAGCTATTGTCTACATTACTGAAATTATTTTATTTTCGTCTCATTACACCAAAGTATACTAAACCAGTCTTTACCTTCGTTTCTTATATATGCTATGGCTTTAATAAGTTTTTACAGAAATTTTATTTATTTAAATTATTTAATAAAAAAATGAAAAAGAAAATGTAATAAATGTGGCCTCTGTTTACGCAATTTTTTACCATGACGAACAATTAAGGTCTTATGCATATAGTACATATAAACAAATTTATATATTTTGTTAAAGGCTATTTTTGTATGCTGAAAATAGAAATTCTCACATCATTAAATCGTTTTCCTTTTACAATCTCTAATTTAATAAATGCATATGTGCATATGTCAGATTAATTAAAAGCTTTTTTTAATTATTTCATTTTTACCATCCCATACTCTAGAGCTAGAGAGTTACTAGATTGTAATATATTTTAATTTGTTTTTTCTTACTGATTGTATTTTATATAATAAAGGAGGTATTGTAATCATACTTAATATCCAATTTCTTTTTGATCTGAAAAGTGATTTCTATGAACGTTTATTTTCTGATATTTGTAACAACAAATGGACATTAAATAGAGATCGATTAAAACAGGACCGTTATTAAGAATTAATTTTACTTTTTTTGGATCATAGGTTACCTTTTAGCTATATGAATTTAAATATGTATGAGATATTACCGTGGGTTTTTTTAAATGGAATTCCAAAATTTACAATTTGTTCGGTTATGTGATGTTCACATCAAACTTTTTTTTGTTTTAATTGTGCGTTTAAGTGATGTATTTCTTAAATATTAATTTTAAGTTGTAAGAACTTTCGATCAATTCGAATTAATCATCGAATCATTCGATTCAATTCGAAATAAAATGAACCTTTAATAAAACTTCCGAAACTGTTTAACTAAAAAGAATCAATTTAAAAATTTTCACTGGAAATCAAAATATTAGGTAAATAAATAAAAAAATATTCATTCTGAAATGCCTGAAATACCCAAAATATTTTTTAAAAGACATGCGATAAATCGAACTTTTTATGAGATTATGCTGCTTTACAAATCTTTTTTTACTTGTTTTATAATTTATTAAATTTAATATGTAGAATAATTATTTTTTTTTTTTTTTGAAAATTTGTTAGTTTTCTTTCTTTCTTTTTAATGCAAAAATATGGTTTCTATTCTTATAATAAAGATTCATAGTGGTATGAGACCATTACTTTTAACACTTGGTGATTATCGTAATTTAACATTAAATGGAACAAAACGACTCTCATATTTAACACAACTGTTCCCGTCCATGTTTAATGAGAAATTATGTGAACAATTATGGCAACACATTCAAAAGATGTTAGAAATATCGATAGCAACAACTAAAAATCAACAGCAGCCAGCTAATTTCTTAGCGGTTGCGAAAACCGGTGATTATGAACAAAAAGTAACTACATTGATTGGAATATTTCATCAGATACCAGCTGCAACAGCGAAATTTATTGATAGTTTATGTCAATTAGTATTACAAACAGAAAAAAGTTTAATGATTGAACCCTCATGTCCATATCGTGAACCATTATTTAAATTTTTAATTCGATATCCAAATGAAACATTGAATTTATTTTTAAACGATATAAATATTGTAAATGCGCAATGGAATCGATTTTGCATATATTTATTAAAACATAAAGATGGTCTACCATTTAGAAATGCTATGCAAACAAATAAATGTTCACGTTTAGTGCAATTATTATATGCAACAACAGCAGCATCTGCTGGAACAACACCACCATTAACAACGGTTCCACAACAACAGATAACGTTTATGACAGAACAACAAAAATATGAAGCACAACATCAAGCTGTTCTAATTGTATTCACATTAATGGAATGTGATGAACAATGGTTACCACAACAAAATGAAATTATAATAGCATTAAAAATTTTATGGCAAAATAATTTAGGAAAAAATTTTGACAATAATATTGCATGTGATTTTTGGCATTTAATTGGAAAAATATTATTATTTTATTTTTCACACAACACAAATGATATCGATTTATTATTTCAATTATTACGAGCACTGTGCATGCATTTTATACCGGATTTTCATTTTCTTCGAGATTTCCTTCAAAATACGGTAGCCCAAAGCTATACAGTTGATTGGAAGCGAAAAGCATTCTTTCATTTCGTTGAACAATTTAATAATCCAAACAATCCCTTAACAGAAGAATTAAAAGCTAAAATATTAACTTCAGTGCTAATACCATGTTTTGCAGTTAGTTTTGATAAAGGTGAAGGTAATAAGCTTATTGGTGCTCCACCAGCACCATATCAAGAAGATGATAACAATGTAGTATCAGTATTTATAAGTAAAGTATTTGATCCAGATAAACCGTTTGCAAATGATGATGCAGTGCGTATTGCCTTACTGCAATTCGCATGTTTATTAGTTGAAAGAGCATCACCGCATATTCATGATGGTGACGCAAATAATAAAAGACAAGGTAATTTAAAAATATTCAATCTTAAAGTAAAATTAAATTTTAATTTGTTTAACATAAATTGTTTAATATTTGTTTAGGAAACAAACTTCGACGTTTAATGACATTTGCCTGGCCATGCCTTTTAACTAAAAACTGTGTTGATCCAACTGCTCGTTATCATGGACATTTACTTTTATCACACATCATTGCTCGTTTAGCAATTCATAAGAAAATAGTAATGCAAGTTTTTCACTCATTATTGAAAGGACATGCATTAGAAGCGCGTCCTGTTGTTCGTCAAGCATTAGAAATTTTAACACCAGCCATGCCACTTCGAATGGAAGACGGTAACACAATGTTAACACATTGGACAAAGAAAATTATTGTTGAAGAGGGGCATGCAATGCAGCAACTATTCCATATATTACAATTAATTGTTCGACATTATAAAGTTTATTATCCTGTAAGGCATCAATTAGTTCAACATATGATTAATTATATGCAACGTTTAGGTTTTCCACAAACTTCAAGTTTGGAATACCGAAAATTGTCTGTTGAACTGGCCGAGGTTATAATTAAATGGGAATTACAACGCATTAAAGAAGACTCTAATGAAACAAGTGTCTTTGATGAAGATGATCCAGCAAATTTATTACTTTCTGGTGCCAGTACGGGAGGGTCAACTGATGTCAAACTTTCTGCCTCTGGTGCTGCAGTGAAAAGACCATACGGTGATGATCTAAATGATAATAGAAAAAAACTTGCCGTTGGGCCAGATGGACAACCAGTTCAACAACCTGGTAAACTAGTTGTTACTTTTCCAAAATGCATTAAAAGCTAATTTTCGCTCACATTATTTTTTTTGTATTTACTCTCATTAGTCAACCAACCAAAATCGGAGGGTTCCAGTAGACCAATTGATAAAATGCACTGTGATACTGTTTTAAGTTTTTTAATTAGGCTAGCGTGTCAAGTTAATGATGCCCAGCCCACGCCAGGTATTGTATCTCCTGGTGAAGCTTTATCAAGAAGGTAAGGTTAACTTTGAGCATCCCGATATTTTTGTTTGCTAAATGAAAAACTAATTGTTTAACAGATGTGTAATGCTTTTAAAAATGGCAATGAAACCAGACGTATGGCCTCAGCCATTCGACTTGAAACTTAGTTGGATGGATAAAGTATTTGCGAGCATAGAAAATCCACAACAATGTAATTTCGGAAACATTTGTACGGCTTTAGAGCTTTTAACATTCCTATTAACCATACTAAAGAAAGAGCAGATATTAAATATCATCCGGCCAATTCAAAAAGGATTATCAATTTGTGTTCAATCGCCTAATACACGTGTTATTAGATTAATGCACGCTCTACTTTCAAGGTTAATGACAATATTCCCTCCCGATTCATACCACAAACATGAAGAGCTTGAATCTTTGTATTCAGTAGTTAGTAAAATGATACAAGATGGATTGACAAATTATGAAAAATCACCACAACCAAACCCATCATCGCTATTTGGAACTTTAATGATATTGAAAGCATGCTGTAATAATAATCAAAGCTATATTGATAGATTAATGGTTCCATTTATGAAATTGTTAAATCGTTTGACTAAAGATCATTTAAGTGGATCGCAACCTTGTCCCACCGCACAATGTACTACACAAAATGTTCAAGGTGGTACAAATACGGAGAGTGGTGGTCCTTTAGCACTAGAGCTATTAATATTGTCATTAGATTTAGTAAAGAATCGAATTGTTGTAATGGGTGTTGACATTAGAAAATTATTCATTGGAAGTATTTTAGTGGGTTTGATTGAGAAAAGTGCCGATGTTAAGATAATTAAATCAATTGTTAAAATGATTGAAGATTGGATGAAAAATAAAAATCCACCAATTACAGTTACTCAAGCTCCCACTCTTCGAGAAAAGTCAATTTTATTAGTTAAACTAATGCAGTATGTTGAAAAACGGTTCTCGGATGATTTGGAATTGCAAGCCCAATTTTTAGAATTGATCAACTATATCTATAGAGATGATCAATTGAAACAAAGTGAGTTAACAGCAAAACTAGAGGCAGCATTTTTGGCAGGTTTGAGATGTTCACAACCGGCTATTCGGGCTAAATTTTTTGAAATTTTTGATGGATCAATGAGAAGGCGTCTTCACGATCGCTTGCTTTATATTATTTGTTCTCATGCTTGGGATTCAATTGGACCACATTACTGGATTAAACAATGTATAGAGTTATTAATTCTTACTGCTAACACAACGACACAAATACAAAACTCAAATAGCAATCACTTAGTACCTAGTATTTCATCAGTAATAAATTTTGCTGATTCGGATGAAAAAAAAAATTTTGTTATTTATACATCATTACAAAATGATCCTCAAGACTTATTTGAATCTGTTGAAGATAAGGAAGATATCTTTGACATGGATATGAGCGTTGACGGAAACATATCACGTCGTGAAGATAGTGAAAGACCTGTCGCAAACAGACAAGCTGTGTTGACGAAATTAATTAGTCGTCAATTCGAATTTTTAGAAGCAAATAGAAAAATATGTACAGAGCAACTATTAATAGCGACAGCGCAATTATGCCACATGGATAGTGACTTAGCCGAGAGAATTTGGTTAGATATATTTCCCAAGCTGTGGTCAATATTAGACGAAGGACAACAACAAGCAATCGTTCGAGAAATTGTACCTTTCCTGTCGTCCGGTACACACGTAATTCAAAGAGATTGTCATCCAAGTGCTATGAATACATTTGTTGAAGCATTGTCTCACTGCCATCCACCGATTTATATTCCTCCGAACTTATTGGCATATTTAGGCAAAGCTCACAACCTTTGGCATCGTATGACTTTGACATTAGAAGAAATGGCACTAGATTGGCCTGCAAAAAAAGAAAGATATCAGGAACATTCAGATATCGATATTAGTGAATATGATTTGGTTGAAAACAGCCAGTCGACAATATTTGATCCTTTGTCTCATATGTATTCAGCGTTACATGAAGAAGATCTATGGGCCGGTCTATGGTTAAAATATGCTCAATATCCTGAAACTAATACGGCTATTGCTTATGAACAAATGGGTTTCTTTGAAGAAGCGCAAGGAGCATATGATTTAGCTATGACTAAATTCAAACAGCAACTGGCAAATGGTCCAACTTCTTTAGAAATGAATAGTGAATTATTGCTTTGGGAAAATCATTACATTAGATGCGCTAAGGAGTTAAATCAATGGGATATCTTGCTTGACTATGCGCAAGCTAACAAAGATAAAAAATCATTTTTAATAATGGAGTGCGCTTGGCGGGTTCCAGATTGGCCATTAATGAAACAAGCTCTAATACGTGTTGAACAAACAAGTCCAAAGCAAGAAGGTTATAAAGTTAATTTATATAGAGGTTTTCTTGCTATACTGAATCAAGAAGAGCAACAGTTAGGAAATGTAGAACGTTATGTTGAAGTTGCTTCAGGATTATGTATGCGTGAATGGAGACGTTTACCCCATATTGTCTCTCATATTCATTTGCAATATCTGCAAGCTGCTCAACAGATTATGGAATTACAAGAAGCGTGTCAAATTCACCAAGGTTTATTACAATCTAGAAACTCGTCACTTCATGATATGAAAGCTATCGTTAAAACTTGGCGGAATAGATTACCAGTTGTTGCTGATGACTTATCACATTGGAGTGATATATTTAATTGGCGTCAACATCATTACCAAATTATCACCCAACATTTGGAACAACAGACCGAGCAGGGAAATCATACCATGTTAGGTGTACATGCTTCTGCGCAAGCTATTATTCATTTTGGTAAAATGGCAAGAAAGCATAATTTGACAGGAGTATGTCAGGAATCTTTATCTAGAATTTACACAATTCCTTCAGTTCCAATTGTTGACTGCTTCCAGGTAATGTGTAACAGTTTCGCTAGATTTTTGTAAAAAATTGAAATTTTACTTAATTTTATTTTTAGAAAATTCGCCAACAAGTGAAATGTTATTTACAAATGGCATCAGTAAGTGGTCGTTCAGAACTAAACGAAGCGTTAGATGTAATTGAATCAACAAATTTAAAATACTTCTCTAGAGAAATGACCGCAGAATTTTATGCTCTTAAAGGTTTATTGCTGGCCCAGACCGGAAGATCCGATGAAGGTAAAGCAATATATTCATAAAATTTAAAAATTGATTTCCCTAACCGAAACTATATCAATTATTCCTTTAGCTAACAAAGCATTTAGTGCCGCTGCCCAACTTCACGATGGTTTAACTAAAGCTTGGGCTCTTTGGGGTGATTATTTGGAGCAAATTTTTACCCGAGAACCCAAACAAATTTCATTAGGCGTAAATGCTATCACATGTTTCTTGCATGCTTGCCGGCATCAAAATGAAAGTAAAACTCGTAAATATCTTGCAAAAGTTTTATGGCTTCTATCATATGATGACCAAAAGGCTTCTTTGATGGAAGCATTAGAAAAGTATGCAGTAGGTGTACCACCTTTAAATTGGTTACCTTGGATTCCTCAATTGCTATGTTGTTTAGTCCAGTATGAAAGCAGCGTTATATTAAACTTATTAAGCCAGGTAATTTGAAAATGGTCATTAAACTTTTTTGAGATTCAAAGCGTTTCTTTCTAGGTTGGTCGAATGTATCCTCAAGCTGTATATTTTCCAATAAGAACCTTATATTTATCTCTTAAAATAGAACAACGGGAAAAACACAAAAGTGCTGAGGTTTATTTGGCAAATAAAATGCAAAGTGTAATATTTCCATACATATTGAAAAAATTTCTTTTAAACATTTTAATTAATAGCAAGCAGCAACAGAGAATCAAAGTGCCCAACAATCTCAAAGCAGCGCAAGTGATAATATTCAACCACAAGTACAACAAGGTCAAATACCGATCCAACAAGGTCAACAAACTGCGACAAGTCAAACACAAGGTCCACCTACCATCGGTCCTATAAAGGCAACTCCTCCTATGTGGAGATGCTCCAAGGTCATGCATGTACAACGCGAAATTCATCCAACTATATTGAGTTCTTTGGAAGGAATAGTAGATCAAATGGTGTGGTTCCGTGAAAACTGGTATGAAGAAGTTTTAAGACAACTGCGGCAAGGTCTTATAAAATGTTACATTATTGCATTTGAAAACCGTGCTAGCGTCACTGAAGCTAATATTACGCCGCATACTTTACATTTTGTAAAAAAATTAGTTTCTACATTCGGAATTGGAATAGAAAATATTTCAAGTTCAGTTGCTTCAAATTATGCATCCGCTGCATCGGAATCCTTAGCAAGAAGAGCCCAAGCCACAGTTCAAGATCCAGTTTTCCAAAAAATGAAAGGTCAATTCACTTTAGATTTCGATTTTTCTACTCCTGGAGCTATGAAATTACATAATTTAATAAACAAATTGAAAAAATGGATAAAAATTTTAGACGCAAAGACTAAGCAGTTGCCTAAATCGTTTTTAATAGAAGAAAAATGTCGCTTCTTGTCAAATTTTAGCCAAAAAACTGCGGAAGTTGAGTTGCCTGGGGAATTACTTTTACCTGTTCCATCACATTATCATATAAGAATCGCAAGATTTATGCCTAGAGTTGAAATAGTACAAAAACATAATACTGCTGCAAGACGATTGTTTATACGTGGTACCAATGGCAAAATTTATCCTTATCTTGTAGTCAACGATTCAGGTTTAGGCGATGCAAGAAGGGAAGAGCGTGTTTTGCAACTATTAAGAATGTTAAATCATTACTTAGGAAAACAAAAAGAAACATCTAGAAGATTTTTACATATAACAGTACCGAAAGTGGTACCTGTTTCGCCGCAAATGCGTTTAGTGGAAGATAATCCAGCCAGCATTTCTCTTCTAGACATTTATAAAAACGGGTGTAACAAAATGACCATAGAGCACGACACTCCTATAGCGAAATATTATGAAAGACTGGCTGAAGTTCAAGCAAGAGGTTCCCAAACTACTCATAATGTGCTTCGAGATATTTTGCGGGAGGTACAACTAAATATGGTACCAAAAACTTTGCTCAAAGATTGGGCTATTAGAAATTTTAAATCAGCTACAGACTATTGGCAATTTAGAAAAATGGTAATTCCTATTAATAAATATTCATTCTTATTATTTAATTATTGATAAAACATATTTATTACAGTTTACACTTCAATTAGCCCTAGCATGTCTGTGTGAACACGCACTACATTTAACACGTTTAAATGCAGACATGATGTATTTGCATCAAGACTCTGGATTAATGAATGTTTCATATTTTAAATTTGATGTGGACGATTCAACAAGTGAATTAAATGGTTCAAGACCAGTTCCATTCCGGTTGACCCCAAATATTGTTGAATTTCTTTCATCAATTGGTATATCAGGACCATTACAAGCATCAATTGTTGCAACTGCTCGCTGTTTAGTACAACCAAACTTTAAATTACCAACGATTTTACAAGCTATATTACGAGATGAGATAATTGCTGTTCATAAAAAGCGCCTCAAAGACGAAAAGCCAATAGTTGATGCAAATGGAGAAATTATTCAAGACTCTCCGTCCGAAATTGATATGGAAAATATAATAAGTGTTGTAAATAAGTCTGTTCAGGCGATTATGCAAAGGCTTCAGAGCATTTCATATTTTGACAGTGTAGATTCAAACAAAATTGCAACATTAATACAGTTGGCAACTAAACCAGACAACTTATGCCGCATGGATCCTGCCTGGCATCCATGGTTGTAAAAAACAATTTTTTAATTTGATTTGATTCAGTTTGTATTTTAATTTCACTTTTATTATGAATTGTAGAAATTCATTTCTAAAATAAAAAAAAAAATATTTTACCTATTTTAATTTTAGAACGTGCTTAATTTTTAATCTCATATTTGTATTATGTATATTCAGAGTTTTGAATATTAGTTTTTATTTTAATATCTTCAACTTTGAACTTTTTAGAAAGTAATAAATAAAGAACAAAAATAAACATTAAATATTAAATTTTAGTTATTTGTAGTTAATTTTTTTTAACCTTTTACTAAAAGAGAAAGCTGGTAGGTATTTTTAAATATGTTTTAACAGATAAATGTTATTACACAATACAGCGTTCTGGAGATCAAAATAGGTTCTGATTCTTTAAGGAAATTCTAAAAGAAGCAGAACATATATTTTATATCTTATAAATTGCAAGGTTGTTTAAGTTTATGATAACTTTTACTATATCAACATGTCATGTACCGATAGGTCAACTTAAAACTTTATTATATTTGAAAATTCAAAAATTCTTATCATTTTAATAAGGACAATAAAATGAACGTTTAAAATACAATTAAATTAAAACTCTCATGATTTCCTTTATTTCATAATATGCAATTTCACCTGTAAATATTCAATGTAACTTTTACTTAAATGCAAATCTGACGTCAATTTTAAATTCCTGAATTAAGTAAATAGAGTATATTATTAAATTTTAATAGAGTATTTTATTAAATTTCCTAATATTTCCGAAGTATACATACAAATAATAGTAAATAGAAAATTTAAAATTTTAGTTTTTATTCTCATTTTAATTTTTTAGTAAGATTTTAGTTATACTTACATACGTATTTATGTATATATATATATATATATATATATATATATATATATATATATATATATATATATATATATATATGTGTGTGTGTGTGTGTGTGTGTGTATGTATGTATGTAAGTAAGTAAGTATGGCAGCTTTTTCCAAAGTTACTCCTTAACGGTATATTACATTTTTCAAACAACATGAAAAGGAAGTTTCGGCAATAATTATTTTATTGTTACACAATTCATTGATACTATTATGTACAAACATACCGTATGTATGTATATTACATGTGCATTGGGTTTGAAAAACGATGTTATTGCCTAAAATTTGTTATTGCCTTTCGTATAAACGATTTTGACTAAATTAATTTAAATACTTCAAAACTTAAACTACTAAGATTCCATCGCTTCAAAAATTTTATACCAAATATTTGTATTAGCATATTACAAAACTGCACAATTCTACATTTAAAACAAATATATTTGTGAATTCACATATTTCGATAATGTCAAATTTGTAAATTTACTAATTTTCAATATTCACCACCTGCATGTGTATTTTGTTTGCATAGCTTAATATTAAACTTTCACGCTAAGATCCATTATGAAGAAAGTGTACTAAATTTCCTGTACTATGCGAAGAATTTAAATTCGCCGTAAATATGAAGCCAAATTTATGCATGCATACATACATATTTATATCTATAATTATATTTTTATCGCGGAATATGTATACATTTTCACCAACACAATCAAATCAATTACCACATATCAAGTAAGAACAAAATAAGAAAAAAAAACAGCGAAAATAAACATACAAAAAAGGAAAAAAAATAATAAATTAAATAAACTTTTGGGGGGCAAGCCAACAAAAACAAAAAAAAAAACATAAAACACTAAATAAGATGAAAAAGAAATAAAAGAACGATGCATTTTTTTATATTTAGAATGAACGATGAAACTGTGCGGCTATACTGTACTTATGAATAGACAGAGACAAGTAGGTACTACAATAGTAGCATAGTACTCTTTCTTAAAACAAGAAAAAAGAAAAAGTGAAAACAATATGTTTATATTGTATGTCGCATTATTATACTTATAAAAAATGTTTCGATAATAACTATATATATATAGTACATAAATATGTATGTAAATGGATAAAGTACATCATATAAATGAACAAATATATAAAGACAAAATTGCAATAAAATAACAAAAATTGAAAAACGAAAATCTTTTAACCCGTGCATAAGTATTTTTAAGTATTATGTAGGATTAGATTCTATACAAACGTATAGAAATACATTTATGTATGTATATTTTTTCAAGTGAATATTTTTATTACTTTTAAGTTCTTGTTCCTATACTATGTACCTATATAATATTCATACGTCATGTATGTAGATGCATACATATATGTAAACACATATATACCCTCATATGTTTATATAATCGTTCATAAAATATTTGGCATATACATACGTACATATATACACATGTATATACATAAATCGATAGAGATTTTTATATTTAGATATACAATATTTATATTATAGGTTTACTATATAACATACACGTTTAATACAATTTGCGAAGTTAACTCTACCCGTTCTATCTTCCTCTTATTCATTAACATCATACAAAATCAAATGAATTAAGTTGTATATTATACATAATACATATAGATTTGTACACCCCTATTCAAAATTGAAATTCTACTGTAAGAATAAGAAATCGCTATTTCTATCTATCTATACTTTTTTTATAAAAATTGCAGTAGTATATATCCCCAAAAATACTACACAAACAAATTCCAATTTCATGTGTGTATGTTTATAATATGTGTACGTACATGATATGCCAAGAATGTTTAATAACTTAAATGATTTTTTTTTCTTTTTTTGGTTTTTTACAAAAACAAAAATGTATAGAAGTTAATTTTAAATATACCTATATGTACTTAGCTTCATATATAGTATATGTGGTCTCATATGAATATAGTATGTATTTTACACATATGAGTAGCTGAGTAGATACATTATTTCGTATATACATATAAGTATCATTATAAATGGACATTTATTTATATGCATATGTAGATTAATCATATAAAATTTATTTGTGTGCATGTATCCACATTACTGGGCGCGCTGCTGTACATTTTACATTGTATAGTTTTATATATTATACAATTTACATTGTATCACATATATTGATTTAACTCTACAGTATTAAATTATATGTAATATATACATAAGTATATGAACATAACTAAGGAGAGTACATGTAATATTAATTTACAGTAAATATCACATAACTATTTTATGGATAAGTGCTAAAATTGTAATTTTTGTAATTTAGTAAGTTTAATAATATTTTATATACATATGTACATGCTTGCAGATACATACAATATATTATTGTTCAAGATTCTTCAACAGAACAAACCCTTTGCGCTAAAAAATACAGATGAAAAATACCAAATTTAAGACCTTTAATTCGCCGTAAAATGTAAATTTGTTCCCACATTATTTCAATTTTTTTCTTATTTTTCATATAAATTTTTCTTATAAGCCTAACTCAAAAATTTCAATATAAATGTCAAATCAATGTCACATTTATATAGACTTTACTGTATACAATTGTGTTCACATATACAAATATACACATGTATATGGTTACGTGATATAAATGTATAGATAAAAATTTAAAAATAAAATATACAAAAAAAAGAAACAAAAATTAAAATAAGAAAAAAAAAGTTTAGGTTAAGGTATTAAATCAAAAAGTATATTTGGATTTGGAGCAAAAATAAATTTTTTCTTATAGATAAATGTTGTGTGTTGTGTATTATAGAACGTCGGTACGTAATAATATAATAAAAAAATAATGGTAATAAAAGCATTCAAAAAAAAATAATTTTTTTTTTATATTACTTTACAACAATAATATTGTTTTCTTATAGAAAAAAAAAATAAATAAATAAATGTACCTATAATGAACAAACTTACATACTTAAAATATTATGTACATATCTATGTACATACATATGTACATTAAAGATAGAAAAATATAATATTACGTACTTATGTACAAATGTACACATATAAAATAATTATTATAAAGATACACTCGTATATAATATAGCAGTAATAATAAAAAAAAAATAAAAATAAAAAAAGTAAAATATCAAACTTTTTTTTGCGCGGCCATTTTTTTGTGTAGCTTTAAAAACAACAAAAAAAAAAAATTAATAATAATAATAAAGAGAATTTCGTTAAGTTTCGTTTGTTAAAAATTTTTTTATTTATGCCCCCTTAAGTTCTCGCGTTTTTTATTTTTGTGCAAAATATATTTTTTTTTTAAAACGATTATGTTAATTGTATATTTATACTTTATGAATACTTACATACTTTTTTTTATTGTATTATAAAGTGATATGTAATATTTTTAACATGAAATTATAATCATTCATACACATAATATTATGCACGTATGTACATAGTTATAAAAAAATATATATATATATATATATTAACTTGAATATATAAAAAATTAATAAGTCCAAGTATGTACATACATATGTACATACATTATAATATGTACGTATGAAATAAAAAATTAGAATATTATGCATATAGTGTGCGTAAATATTGTAAGTATGCAAAATGTGTGAATGCTTTCATATTAAATCAGATTAATTTATTAATATATTGTGAAAAAAAGCATATAAAATAATAAATACCAAAAAAAAAAAAATTTTAAAGATACATGCACACACATATTAACATATAACATACATATTATGTATGTATATAGAGTTATATAAAAATTTATAATATGATCTACATGAAGGTGATACTAATAATATTGTACAATATATTGTTAAGAAAAAATAAAGTGACTTAATAAGTTCTATAGAGTTTAACATACAGATATACATTTACATAATTATATATATATATATATGTATATAAATAATAAAATACCATATTATTATCCAATAAGATACATAAATGTATATTATTATGGTAATATACATATATAGAAAGATATCTGTTAAATTATAATTTGTTCATAAGTTTAGTATATTAATAAAAAATACAATGTAATGTAGGTACATTATTATAACATGGATTATAATATGAATTATGTATATACATATTGGTAGATGGTAATAATTATGTGAATATACATGCATACCTATACATATTATATGAATATTATAATAAATTGTTTATATAGATTTATAAAAAAAAAAATTTAAAAGAAAGTAAAGTGAAAGAAAAATTGTGAATTAAAATTTTTTTAAAATAATAATAGCTATACATAAATTTACAAAAGTATACATATGTAATAAGAAAATAAGAATTATATTAAGAACATAAAGAAAAAAAGGTAAAAAC